GCGGGCCGTGCGGCTTCGGGAGTGACTGTGGGGCGGCCGGGGGAGTCGGTGAGCGGCGCGGCGGCGCGCCGGGGGTGTAGTGGTTTGCTGTGCGGGGTGCGGGGTTCCGGATCGGCGCGGGACCTGCCTTAGGGGGCGGTGTATACGGCCGGGCCCGGGGCTGCGCGTCCAGCGGAGTGGTCTGAGTCGAGTCCCCACCGAGGCGAGAGCTTGTCTGGATCCGCATCGCTCGGGGCACCCAGGTGGAGAGAGTGGATTTCGGTGCTCTATCACTTCTAATTATGCAAACAAAGGGAACTAATTACAGACAACTAGATGTCGCTGGTGAGTAAGAAAAGTAAAAGTAATTGGAATGTCAAAATATTTTCTTCCTGGCGCGTCCAGGATATTGAAAAATATGCGTAATTAGGCAAACGCCATTGCTTTTATTAATGTTTTCACTAAAAATACTGTGATGAAACAACGTTGTGCCAAAGTATACATGTTTTACCATTCAAAGTGTGTAATGTGGCACTGAGAGTAGTCTGTATTTACATTTTGAAAATTAAATCTTACAGAATGTATTGACATTGGTTAAAATTGGTGCTAGCACTTGATACCAAGGAGGGTAGAATTAAAAGAAATATTTGTTTCTAGTTTCCCTTATACACCTTGCATGAAGGTATAAGTGCTCAACAAGTACATTTGTATGGGAAACGGGAAATTTTTATTTTTAGGGTGATTTTGTTTTCAAAATGGAAAAGGAGTATATAAAATATAGTGTTGAAACAAGGTATAGCTCTAGTCTCTAAAAACCATCTAGTATGTTCTCCTTCCTAAGTTAAAAGTTACCTAGTATGTTCTCCTTCCTAAATTAAAGGCAGTGGTCAGGAGAGAAGCCATCCAGTTGCAGACTGTGGTAATGCAGTCCTGAAAACCCATTAATACTGGTTTGGTTGTTTTGCAAGAACGTGTCAGCAAGTGGTTGTAGCTGTAATTTGATGAAAGAATTTCAGGGAACTTCCAGCTCTTCGCACGCGTGTATCTGTGCTATCCAGGAAGTAGTTGTGAGGCTTCTCTTACATGGTATGTGAATGCTGAAGCTGGGTGAAAAGTTGGGGATTTTTGAAGATAAAGTTCAATATGTGCTCATAAGGGAAAAAGACAGACACATGAAAAATAAGAGCTCTGCTCCATAAAGTTCTCTGGGTTCCTGGTATGCAAGGAGATACTGGTGCCTCAGGATGCTGTGATGCCTGTCAGTTGCTTGAACGTGAAATCACATTTAACTTTAATAATTTTGCAGTTCCTGTAGTTTATTGTTAGAAACAATGTGAAAGAGCTCCTTCAGGTGAATCACTACGTGTTCTCCAAACTTGAATTTTTGAACTTAATCCTTTTCCTTCCTTGAACTTTATCCTCTAATTACCCTTGGTTTTGATAAACTACATAGCACCTAACACTGTCAAGGATGCCATATATTTTATTTCATTGTCTGTCAAAGCAGTGATTTTTGCCTTCTATTTACTGCTGAGACATTCATGCCTGCAATACAACCGTAGGTGCTCCATAAATATTTGTTGATTTCATGAAAGAATGAATCCAAACTGGAGAAAAGATTGAAAGACTTTAATATCCTTGGTTGCCAATTAATCCCTTGGTAGCTAAAATAGGGAATGCTAACAACTCAAACTTCTTTAATCTAAAGCCTTCGTACTTGAGTAATTGCAGACTTAATATTATCCTCTTACGCTCTTTCCCCAACTTGCCAAAAAGTTAGTATCGCCTATCACAGAGGACATTCTCAACCCTAAGACATTTATAGTGGTACAGTACTATTTGAACTGCTGACTTTACTCAGTCATCATTTTTTCACTAATTTCCTTTTTCTGTTTGAGTATCCAGTCTGGAACCCCTCATTCCACTTAGCTGGTGCACCGCCTTAATCTCCGTCAGTCTGAGTCAGGCTCTTCACTTTTCCTTGTTTTTCACGATCTTGATGGTTTTATATTTTTTGAATGTACCTCAATTTGGTTTTGTCAGATGTTCCCCCAGCTTGAATTACTGATGTGTCCCATTACCGATGATATTCATCTTGGTCCCTTGTAAAGTTACTGCCTTTTCCATGTAATTATTAAGTATTTGAAGACAGATTCTTTGAGTCTGTGTCTGGAACTTTCACTCATTAATCAGCAGTCTTTGGTGGATCTTGCCTGCTGTCTTCATAACTGAGTGGTTTAATGGTGACTTTCATTTCTTTATACACTTATTAAGTGAACTTTTTTTGTGAGAAAAAGTTGTACCTTATCCTCCTTTTGTTTCTTCATTCAGTAGGTTATATCATTGAGATAGTGGAGGGTCTTGTCTTTTCCCTGCCCACCCCTGAAATCAAGTGCTTCTTCAGGAGCCTTGGTTCCTTTTATCAGAGAATGGCTTATAGAAACCAGATTTGGGGCACTAGGTTCAAGCTTATTCAATAATTAGTAAATTAGTTTTAAGTTGCTAAATGTACACTGGAAACCGCTTAGTGGCGAGTGACTTAGAAACTCATTTACTTATTAGCAGTGTGTAAAATAAACCTTATATACACTAACATTTGGTAGAATGTTGGAAAAAGAGAATGAGATAATTTATTGAGGATTTTAAAAAGGAAAACAGAACTGTACACTGCATATGAGATGAAGAAGCAAAAGAAGAAAACCTTGAAAAATATCCACATGATTGCTGGGGATTTTCCCAGTTCTTTCCAAGGCCATTACCATTGTGGGGATGAAACTGAGTTCAGATAGGAGGCTCCAGGAGACAAGGCCTGCTTTAGCTCAGGTTGCCGCCCAACCCCAAGGCCTCCCATTTATTAGCAAGTTAGTAAATGAAGCTTTTCTTCTGTCTTCAAAAGCTAGTTGGGACCTGAGAGGAATGCTGAGCCCTGGGATACAAGCCTTTGACTGGGCAGGTTCAGCTCACTGGCCTGAAGCTCTGCTCTGGTTCTTTCATTAGAACCCAGACGGTTTGATTTTTTTTTTTTTTTTGCCTGTTTGTTTTTAAGATTTATTATTTATACATACAAGAACTGGGGTACAGGCAGAGGTGTTGGGGGAAGGGGTGAGAGGGTTCACCAGAGAGGGAGTGGTGAGGGGAACAGGCAGATGGACTGAAACACGCTGCTTGGGGGAGTAGTGGGTGAGACAGGAGAGGTCTGCTGTGCCATGTGGGTCACTGCCCTGATGGGGATCTAACTCAAGTTGCAGTGGCTGTGGAGAGCTTCGAAGTGCTGAGACTTAACCCCTTGCGCCACCAGGGTCTTTAGGTTTCTCTGTTGCATTGATTGCAGAGGCTGGGCTAGCCCTTTCTTTGACTGAAGGCCTGGGCTCCTTCACCAACAGGTGCCCTCATTTTTGTTTGTGGGTGCTCTCTGCCGCTTTGCAAATGCCGCACTGACCTCTTTGGACATTTCCGCAGTGACTTCTTCAGAACATGCCGGCTTGGAGGCTTTCCTCAGTGGTGATTTCACTGTGGGTCTGTCAGCTTGCTGAGGTAGGGCAGGGTTGTTTGTACTTACTGCTGGTGCTTTTCCTTGAGAGTTCCCTCTGCACTCAAGTTTGCTGGCTTTGGCCTCACTGCCATGTTTCTCTTCACCCCGAGAGCGTTCTAGTCCTCCCCTGCCTGAGTTTTGCCTCTGTTCGCCAGTCAGTTTGCAGGTGCAGCTGTGCCAGTCTCTCCCCACAGCCTGCACCCACCGGGCAGTTGTTTCTGTGTCCTGTCTGTGCTGCTGGGGCTCAGCCAGGCTGGTGCGTGCCCCTATGCCCTGAAGCACCCCGTCCTCCTCAGTCTCCCTGCGTTGTTTTGTCTTCCAGGCTCTTTTCCAGGCTTTCAGTTCCTTACTGGATCACGCCTCTCATTTTCCTGCTTCTGTTTTGTCTGAGCCCCTATCCTTACCCTGTCCCCCTTTCCAGGCTTCATTCTCTGTTGGAGCTCTGGCAGCCATGGGCTTTATTTCCCTGTCAGAGCTCCCACAGCCTCCTCAGCATGTCCCAACCCTGATGCAGCCTCAGCTGCCTCTGCATGGCCCTGGGGCAGGAGGCAGTGTCTTCCTTCAGCTGCATGAGGCACACCTTCTGCTCTGCTGTTCACAGCCACACTCTTGACAGTGTTGGGTGGGCTTGTGAGTCGAGGGACACTGAATAGGTGTTGGTTTCTAGGGGAGGCGGGATGTGAGGGTTCTGGCTTCATGCGGTGGCCGAAGGTAGTGATTTCTTCAAATTTGCTGAACAGTGGGGAGAGGTGGCAGGTGCCCGTTTCTGGGGCTGAGGGCTCTGAGCTGTGACTTGTGCGAGGGAATGACCATTCTGCAACAGGTGCCCGTGCTCTGTTTGAAACACCTCCCTTTTTTTCTTTCGCATTGTTATATCTGGACAGCATTTTGCCCTTCTTGTTCTCTGTCTCACGTGCAAGTTTTTGCCTTACATTGTTTTCACAGAGCAGTCAGTCTTTCTTGCATATTTGGTTCCTGACGTTGGCTAAAACAGAACTGAAGTACCTGGTCTTCTTTTTCCTTTTGTATTTTAAGCTGCATCTACCCCCAAGTGTGTGCTGCTTCTGCTCCACATCTACCCCTCCCCTTTGGGGAGCTGCTCCTCATTTGACTTGTTTTTAAGGAGAATTATTTATCACTTTGCTGATTATAAAAGTAATATGTAACAATGTAGGAACATAGATAAATAGAAAGGGAAAGCCCTGTCATTCCTCCTGCCAGAGGAGATAATGCTTTAGAGAGGAAAATAATTATGCTGATACTTCGGGTCTAATACAGTCTTTCTAACTGTTGTGTGGTATTTGATTCTATGAGCTGTTACACTTTTAGTTAGCTTCATTGATGGGCAAGTAGGTTATTTTCCATATTGCATTATAGTAAACACCTGTGTAAATGTCTATATACGTGCAAATATTTTTCTGGGGAGATTCTTAGAAGTGAAATTCCTAGGGCAGAAGTAACAAGATCTTTTAGTTTTACTCATGTGTTCTTTGCTGTGTATCTAAAGATGATCTGAACTAACAGAATCTAACTGCGCCATCATTTTCACATTCCTCCTGAAAAATAATATTGGTTATTTCAGTCTCTTGCCAGTGACATCTGATGTTCCAGCAAATGGCCTCACCACTGAAATGCTGAAAAGATACTCCTGAAGTCCCAGCAACAACACACCTGACACAGACTGGTTTGCCCTCAGCTGGGTATTCCCAGGCGTGATGACGCCAGGCAGGTGGTATGCTGTCCGTCCAGCTCAGGCCCAGGCTTCAAGGGAACGAGGGCGCCTTCAGATGGTAAAGAAGGAAGAAGACGACGAAGGGTACATCACAGTACAGCTTGCCAGGCCGCAAACACTCAATCGTCCTGGCCAGGAGCTTTTCCGCCAGCTCTTTCGACAGCTTCGTTATCATGAGTCTTCTGGGCCCTTAGAGACTCTCAGCCGGCTCGAGGAGCTCTGCCGCTGGTGGCTGAGGCCTGATGTTCTTTCCAAGGCCCAGATTCTGGAGCTGCTGGTGCTCGAGCAGTTCCTGAGCATTCTTCCAGGGGAGCTCCGGACCTGGGTGCAGCTGCATCACCCTGAGAATGGTGGGGAGGCCGTGGCCCTCCTGGAGGAGTTAAAATGGGACCATGATGGGACAGCATGGACGGTGAGTGTGAGCAGGCGTGCAGGACACAGTGACTGCTGCTGCAGGGATCCAGCTTGTCTGGGTTTGGGTGCCTCTGAACCCTCAACATTGAGCAATGTAGGAGATAAGAACCCTCAACATTGAGCAATGTAGGAGATATCTTCCTTTCTCAATCCCATGGTACCTGAGAACTAGACTCCAGGCCAAGAACTCTAGCCAGCAGGCCTCTCCATCTTCCCAAAGGAATATCTAACCCTGGAAGACGGTCAGCAAGTATCCATAAGTGAATAGTACTGAGGTTTTGATCCAGTGACTTACTGTATAAAAAGTCTATCTCTACATAATATCTCATTTGACTTGCTTGATTTGCTCTATGCGGGTGATATCTTTCTTGCAAGGTGCGGGAGGGTTAGAGTCAGGACTCATGACTTCTGAGCACATGAAGGGCTTATAAGAGCAGTCTACATGCACCGTACTGCTTCTTCCTCAATACGCTTTTGAGGATTGGTTCTGTGCTGGGAAGAAAGGGAGAATAGAGCTGATGGAGAGCTCAGGGCTACAAAATTGGAAGGCCTCAACTTGGATTTCATTCCACAGCCGCAGTATCTTTGCCCACTTTTCAGAGTGTCAGTTTATTGGAAAGAAAATGCAAAAATGATCTAACAGTGAGAATTCGTTCATAGTACCAGAGTGCTTACCAGGCTCTTAGTGCTGAAACATTAATGTTGGTGGAGCAGCAGGTCATTTGAAGTGCCCTCTTCTGGCCGCTCCGCCCATGCAGGGGAATTTCTCAGTGCTTTCTGTATCTGAAGTTTCTTTAAATGTGCATTTATCATTTTTGTAGATGTTAATATTGTTATTTCTATAAAAATATGTATAACTATACATATATGACTCATGTAAGAGGAATATTACTTTTAAGATTTTTGAGATACTTTTGACATACCCCAAAATTTAATGTACACATTCAAAAATTTATTACAGTAATTCAATCAAATAGTAGTTCAATCTGAATATGGTATTCAGCAGTAAAGGGTAATAAATCAACATAAGGAGTGACTATTTATAAAGAAAATCTCTTTGCTTAATATTGGGTACTAATTTTTAAATGTCTTAAAGAGCACTCATCAACTTAAACCAAAATGATGGGATGTTCAGAATAATCTAAACATAATGATCAGAAAGAGCCTGCTTCTCTTTTCTTTCTGTTTGTCTGTCAGTAGGGTAGCTCTGTATCAGCTATTTAATCATCTCAGGCTAAGCTTTGTCCCTGTAAGTACAGGGAATAAGTTGGTCACAGGTCCAGAAAAATGTGAGGTTCATTAATTGTAGCTTCTTTTCCTTACAGCAGAGCAGAACTATTTGAAGTCTCAGGGCAAATAGCCCTTCTTCGGGCTCTGCTTAGATGGGCCCTGCCATTTTTTGTACCTGAGACTTTTTCTCTTCAGGTGCCATGACTGACTCCAATTCTCATTGCCGCGCTAGTCAGGTTTTATACTGGGAGCCTCTTTGGTATTACTTTTTGATGTCGTTGAGCAGTTCCTGATAGATGATAGACATTATCCAAGTGCCTCTGTTATGAACCACTGTGTCTATTCTCAGGGATGAATTTTATCTCTCATTTCTAAGTTCCAGGCCAGGGGTGGGGGCTGAGGGCAGAGGGCAAAGTGGACATGTCGCTGCACTTGAGGCCTGGCCGCAGTGGGGAGTGCCTTGCCAGGTACAGGTTGAGCTGGGAGCTCTCCATTAGTCTCTCCTGTGGCTCATGCTAGAGCCCAGGAATATTAAGTGGTCAGAGACAACTTCTCCCATTTCTTTTCCACTCTGCGTGTAGGCAGTAAAGGGACTGGCTCCCCTTTCCTGTGCCTCAGCCTGTCAGGTTGGCCATCTTCTTCCCAGAGTTTGCTTTCTGATGCCCGTGTGGCTCCTCTCACAACGTTTTCTTCTCCCCAGGACCCAGCCCCCACCCAGAACCCAGATGTGCACTGGATGGGTACAAGAGCCCTGCAAGCCACACAGATATGGACCCGTGCTTCACCTCTCAGGAGCAGCTCTGCTCTGGGGGACCACCTGGAGCCTCCCTCTGAAATAGGAAAACATGACTTCCTGGCTGGGCAATCCGGTACTTGCTGTCTGGCCCTAAGGCCCCAGCCTTATGCCACAATGCCTGAATTCCATTATGTCATCTTTTCACCATCTGTCCTCTCATGAGAATTTCATTTTGTCTGGCCCTCAGCTCTTTATCCTTTCTACCCCTCCTGCGATCCATGTCTGACTAGTCCCTCTTCCCATTGCACACTCCCAGACCCCGACAGACGGAAAAATGTGAAATGGTATTTAACACTTGTCCAGACCTGCCTGTGGGTCCAGATTCCTCTGTGTGTGGGGAGAGTGGGTTTCTCAGTGGGGTACACTCCCTAGCTCTTTCTTCTCTTTCAGGTTCTCCTGCTGCCCAGCCTGCCCTTCCCCAGAGAGAGGGGTGCCCAGGAGACCAGGTAACAGCCCAGCCTCAGGTGAGCCACAGGACTTTCAGTCCTTCCTGATATTCCAGTGCTGCTTCTGTGGAGTAACTGTAGCTTTCCCTCATTCTGGGCCTCTGTCGAGTGACCTCACATCCAGAGACCCATGTCCCAGACAGCAGACTGTTCCCCTTGAGCCCAGAGCGCTTTTCCTAGGTGAGGGTCCTCTCTTTCGCCCTTGTTAGCTCTCTGCGTACTCACTCAGGCAGCCCCATTTCTTTGCCCCCTTTTGAAAGCTGGGACATGTCAGTGGGCTTTAGGGCATAGGACTGTGTCATTTCAGGAGGCCCTGACTTTTAAGGATGTGGAGGTGACCTTCTCCCAGGATGAGTGGGGATGGCTGCACCCTGCTCAGAGGAACTTGTACAGGGATGTAATGCTGGAGAATCACAGGAATGTGGCTTCGCTGGGTAAGGCATCCATAGGCCCTTGCTTTACACCCTTACTCCTGCCTTCCTGGTTTCATTATGATGCCTAGAAAGTACGCTGACCTGGGTTTGGTAATTACCAGTCTGATTACTTAATCAATCATCTCAGTTTCCTCTCTTGAAAAAAAGGGGGATTATGATGCCTGCATGCTGGGTTGATCCAAGGTTTTAGGGCATAGGTTCCAAGGTTTACGGTAATATAGGTCAGTTCCATTCACTTTGACATTCAGAAAATGGTGGCTGACTTAAATGATTAAGTTGTCATGCGACTCCCATTTCCATAGAATCCTTTTGGCTGTGACTTGACTCAGCCTCCTAGTCTCTGCTCAGGGCTGTCAGAAATGGCTGTCTAGGCCCTAGCCTTCTCCACTTCCCCACAAGGTTTTCCCTCCTTCTGCCAGTACCTCAGGCCTGAGAGGGTCCCAGAGAGTTGGTTTTTATTGTTCATCTACCTTCCCAACCTATCTATGTCTTTCTGTTCTGCAGTAGGGCCATTCACCAAACCTGCTCTGATCTCCTGGTTGGAGGCAAGGGAGCCATGGGGCCTGAATATCCAGGTCACTCAGCCCAAGAGTGCCCCAGCCGCTGCCCCTACAGGTGAGTTCCGGAGAACCTGCCAGGTTCCTCTCTTGATTCTACTCTTCTCTTCCCTTGTCTCTTATACCTAGTAAATCATGGGGACCTATGATTGTTTGCTAAAAGGAAGATTTTTCATACTATTTTTAAAAAAGATATATTTATTTATGCATAAGAACTAGGGTACAGGCCAGAGGTGCAGGGGCAGTGAGAGGATTCACCAGAGACATAGCGGGGAGCAAAACAGGCAGATCGATGAAACACACTGCTGAGGGGAGCAGTGGGCAGGTCAGGAGAGGTCTGCTGCGCCATGTGGGTCACCTCCCTGGCCGGGATTGAACTTGTGGCAGAAGCGGCTGTGGCTAGCTTAACAGTGCTACACTTTAACCTGTTGCACCACCAGGGAGGGCCCCAATCTTTAACATTATTTTTAAGAAGTGCTGGGCCCCTGGACTTCTTCCCTGCAGCTGACCTACTAGACATTCATTCTGGCTCTGCCCTTTCCCCAGTAACCTCCTCAGTAACAGTTTTTACAACTTTCATTATTCATCTCTTTTCTGTTCATTGATACTTCTCTTCAGCTCTGTGCTACACTCCACTAGACCTTGTCTGCCCTTTCCTACTCTTGGGAGCTCTGGCCCCACAGCTGCTTCTCTTTGGACCTTCTTTGGACTTTCCCTGTGCAACAGCCTGATCTGCAGACCTGTCAGCCAGGCCTTCCTTGGAAACTACTCTCCACACAGGGGCCCCCTCTTGCGCTCTTACGCCATGATCCACTCCCCTTTCTTGCTATTTACCCTCCCTTACCCTTTTTAATTTTCAGCTAGATATGGTCTCTGCATGTTTACGTGTACACCCATCTGCTATCTCCTGCCGCTTTCCCTGGCATCAGGGACACTCTTCCATGTTTTGACTTACTCCTGACTATTTTGTAAAGGCATTGGCAGTCAGATAAAGTCCTTGCCACCTAAGGTAGGAGAACTGTGAGGACTACAGAGAGGAGAAGCCAGATACTGTACAAAAATGAACAATGTAAAAAATAAATAAATTTAATTGTATAAAAATGTAGAAATGGGGGAAAAAAAACTACCACCTCAATTCTTGGCATTGTTGTGTCCTTTGGTACATTCTTCAGTTCCAAGTATGGGAAAGGAATATAATTGCTTTTGTCTTATTTTGTGTCAGGAGGTGAGCTCCAGATTACAACCAACAAGTTCATCCTAAAACATGAACCTTCGGAAGTAGCAGAAACCTCAGCAGTGCCATCAGGCTGTCATGCAACAAATGTTTCTGAGGGAGAATCTTTTCAACAGAAGAATGTGTTAAAGGAACAATGTGAAAACCCCTTAAAGCTGAGAGTTAAGAAAGAAGAGACCAATTTTAGTCATAAAACAGAAGAGTCTCAATCAGAAAAAAGTAATTATCTTAACCTAAAACATGTTGTGTATTTGAGAGTTCCCAGAAGAAAGCACTCCCTTAAACATGGCCACGGCAGGCACTTCAGAGGGAATTCATTCCACTACGAATACAAGGAGTTTGGGAAAGGGCTTAGACACCTGATGGGCAGGTTTAACCTGTATCCGAGAATTCATGCTGGACTGAAAGGGAATGTAAAGGATGTGTGTGGGAAAAACCCCAGCCTTAGCGCTCATCCTCAGCCTGGGCAGGCTCTTCACGTGGTGGGAACATCATACAGGTGCAGTGACTGTGGAAGGACCTTCAGTTGTAGCTCCCACCTCGCGTGTCACCGGAGACTTCACTCTCCCGAGAAACCATTTAAATGTAGGGTATGTGGGAAAGCTTTCAGATGGAGCTCAAACTGTGTGCGACATGAGAAAATTCACACTGGAGTGAAACCCTACAAATGCAATTTATGTGACAAAGCTTTCCAGCGCATGTCTGCCTACCGTATGCACCAGGAAACGCACACTAAGCAGACGTTTCTGGAACCGAATCAGTGTGAGGATTCTCTTCCCTATGACTCAAAGTTTGATCATTTCAGAGACCAAACTGAGGAGAAACCCTTTGACTGCAGCCAGTGTAGAAAATCCTTTCACTGTAAATCATATATTCTAGAACATCAAAGGATTCACACCCAGGAGAAACCCTATAAATGTATCAGGTGTAGAAAAACCTTTAGGTGGAGGTCAAACTTCACTCGTCATATGAGAATGCATCATGAGGAAAAGTTCTATGACCAGGACAAATGTAGAGAAGATGTTAAACAGACCCCTCCATGCAGCGTGTCCCAGAATGTGCCCACTGTGGAGAGAGCTTTTCTCTGCCAGCAGTGTGGGAAAACTTTCATTAGGAAGAAATCGCTCATTAATCACCAGAGAATCCACACAGGCAGGAAACCATACCAATGTGGCGAATGTGCGAAAGAGTTTACCCAGAGGGCAGCCTTTATTGTTCATAAGAAGCAGCATGCTGCTACAGGAAAACCTGCGGATGGGCCATCTTTTAGTCAAGACAGAACATTGCAAATTCCCCAGAGTGGTCACACAGCAGAGGAACCCTATACATGTAGCCAGTGTGGCAAAGCTTTCCGCAATCACTCATTTCTTCTTATCCATCAAAGAATTCACACCAGAGAGAAGCCTTACAAGTGCAGGGAATGTGGGAAAGCTTTCAGGTGGAGCTCTAACCTCTCCCGCCATCAGCGGATTCACTCTTTCAAAAATCGGTATGAATGTCATGGGAGTGGAAACATTTCAAATCTGCAGCCACAAATCATGTCTGATGGAAAACCTTTCTGGTGCCAAGAATGTGGGAAGTCCTTTACACGTAAAAGGTCTCTCTTAGATCACAAGGGAATCCACAGTGGAGAGAAGCGCTATAAATGTAACCTGTGTGGGAAATCTTACGATAGAAATTATCGCCTTGTTAATCATCAGAGAATCCACACCAAAGAGAGACCTTTTAAATGTCAGTTGTGTGGGAAAGATTTCATTGCAAGGCATACCCTCAGTATTCATCAGAGAAAACATGCCAGAGTCACACAGTCCGACTGCAGCCTGGCTGGGTTATCTTCCTCCCAGGACACAGGAATGAATTTACAGGAATTAAAACCGAGTGCAGAGAAGCGTGTTGAAGATTGTAAGGAAACTTGTGACCAGAGCTCCAGGCTCACTGGACTCCAGAATGTGCCTGTTGGGGAAAAGTGCCACAAATGTAGCACATGTGGGAAGACGTTTAGTAAGAGCTCACAACTGATTAGCCACAAGAGATTTCATACTCGAGAGAGGCCCTTCAAGTGCAGAGAGTGTGGGAAGACCTTCAGGTGGTCTTCAAATTTGGCTCGGCATATGAAAAACCATATTAGAGATTAGCCTGGGGCCTGGCTATGGCGGGAGAAGGATCCCTAGCCACTTGCTGAAGAACAGGGACCTTCACAAAGGTCTCTGTTTTGAAAGCTAGTGGCAGAGAATGTTGAGAGGCTTCCCAAACTCAGGGTGCCCCCCATTCTACCCAGTGGGAAGTGAGATCTAGGAAAGAGCAGCAACCTGTTCTTTGGGGCCCTCCAGGAATGGCCTTGGCACAAAGGCCTGGGCTCCCAGCCTCGACTCCAAGAAAGAGACCAATACCCTTGTGGTTTGACAAAATGCCTGTGGCATGGTGGACTGTGACCTCCGGGAAGAGCCAGTGGGTCCTAAATTTCTCTTGAGTGCTTTTTCTGTTTGTTCTTGGAAACAATGGCAGCAAAACAGTAGAATGGACTCCTGTTTACCTAGACACCTCTTGGGAAGTATGACTGTGGCTTAAGCCTACACGGCTGGTTTTTGATAGCTGCCATGATCACAGCTTGCTGTCCTCCGCTTGCTGTTGACACGAGTGTTGGTCTCTACCACCCAGCGGATGGCGCTCTACAGGGGCCTCATCACCATCTTCTGACAGGTGTCCATGGCAGCAGTTTAACAGAAATGTGTGGCACACCTCTTGAATGCCAGGCACTGTGTGTGTGCCAGAAAACTAGCAGTGACTGGAATAGACAAAACCCTGCTGGCTTGGATCTTTACAGATGATAAGCAAATGAGCTATCCAGTGTTTTGGGTGGTGATGTGTGTTGTGGACTTAGGACAGAAGAGTGAGAGGGAGTGTTGGATTGAGAGGTAGATTGTGATTTTAAATAGGCTGGTCAGGGAGTGCCTCCACTGAGGTGAAGTTTGAGCAAAGGCCTGAAGAAGGTCAGGGTGCCCCTGGGCCTCCAGATTCAGGCAAGGAGTGGAGACTGGCCTGGTGTCCTTTGGAAATGGCAAAGAGAACCCAGAGCTGGGGTGGAGGAGCCAGCTGGAAGAGGGGCCCAGAGTGCTGTAGGAGCAGCATTATGAGTCCTCCCTGGGACATGGACTGCTTCCAAAGGAGGGAACTTGGGTTGGCTTTAACTTGAGGTGTAATGTTGCATCTTACAGGCTTAACCAGAGGTGCAGAAACCCAGTCAAATCACATAGTGAAAGACTTCTATGCCCTTGTCCCTGCTGCCTGTGTCCATGAACAGGACGCTCTCCCCACCCCCACATCTGAATTTCATGTGTGACCTCTCGCCTTCAGCAGTTGTGAGTGGGGGCACGCTCATGGAAGACACCATTTCTTGTCATCAGAAGAAACCAAACCCTGGAATATCCTTTCAATAGAGTCGTGATAGGGGATAACCTTACCCATTCTGGCTTTGTGTTCTGGAAGACTTGGTCGTCTTGACTCTGCACCCCTTTTGCTTTCCTATAGCAGTAGTTGCTCACAGCCTGGAATTGTGTCCTGTCATTGGTACTGTTTCTAAAAGAGGTTGGACAGGGCCCAGGGTCATAGGAATGTCCTTGGAGTCATCAGTCTTGGCTCGGTCCGCTGTGCCTTTCCTTAGCAGGATGTCCTTGGTGAGGTATTGAGCCCTGCATCTCTTTTCGTGTAAGATTAATTTACTGTGCTGCCTGACTGGGCTTGGTGAATGAGGGCCTGGCTGGCAAAGATTTTTGATTACTTGGCTAATCTCTAGCACCAGGACCAGAGCCCCCACGGAACTTGTACTCGCAGGTCGTTGGTGCTCCAAGTGTGGATGTCCCCCTTGCCTGTCTGTATTTTCACTATCCCACTCCTTAGGCCACCTAGCACATCACCGAGTTCCTGCCTCAATAGAGGTGTTTTTCCTGCCATTTTAATAAAATGAGCTGTGCATATTTTTAAACACTCAAGTCAAAAATATAAATTCATAAAGAATAAAAGAAAAATCAAGTGAAATCCCTCTATACTGAGGTAAACGGTTAGTATTTTGGATTGCACTGATGCAGCCTGTTCAATAACCTGAGTTTTTAACTAATTCTAGCGGTATAAATATGTGATTATGAAATTAATAATAAAAACAAAGGATAAGGAAAGGCGGTTCTTTAGAACTAAAAGTCTGTCTGTATGGGTGTTGGGTTTGACTTAGTTGCCTCTCAATCAAGTCCGTGTTCCTGGACTGACCTGCCTTGTGTGGCCATCTTCACCTGGACTGCCAGAGCCTCTCTTTGTGCTGGCCCAGGACCTCGCTCATCAAGGCCGAGTCTTCCCTGATCATCACCACTCTACGCCCTCCCTGGCTCCAAGGCCTCCCCTGTGCCTCTCAGCTGCTTTGATAGGTGTTGTTTGGGTTTCTCGAGGCCAGGGTGGGGAGCTTATTTATCTGCCAGTGTAGAGGAGGTTTGCACAAGGTTGCCTCTAAGGTAAGTCAGGACTGGAGTTTTGTGAAGGGGCTCTTGAGTGAGATGTTTACTGGAGGCCTCCCACAAGCACACTTCTGCTAGTTAGCATCACAGCTATATGGTTCTGGGGTGTATGGTTCCAGCTGATGCTGTTCGATGGTCTCTGTCACCAGTTGTCATCTCTTACCTCATCCTGCCTGGGCAACTTAAGCCTTCTCCCAACCCTCACCCACTTCATTTTGCTTTGTAGAAGGAACTGAGATTGGGGCTGGGGAGGGCCAGATGGACTGGACCTCCACAGAGAGTAGGGGGTAGCAGTTGGCCTGTTGAGTACAGAGAAGAACATACAGGGGGTATAAACTAAATGCTCCCTCTCACTTTATCAAGTTCCTGGGGAACAGTGGGAACAAACTGCTGTAGGAATGGACGTTGTGTCAACCCCTGTGCCAAGTGTTTTGCAAGATCTTATAAAGTTTTATGTCCTCTACCACCAAGCAGTTCTACTCCTGAAGAACTTTAGAGGAACTCTCTGTGAAGAAGGAAATGTGTTTAAGACTTTTTGCAGTGTTGTTGCGGTATTGTTTAGCTGGCAAAATTGGAAAGAGTCCAAATTCCCATCACCAGAAAAGCAGGTAAAATGGGTTGTTTTGGGGGCCGTTGGAAAGTGAACAGGAAAGACCGAGAGTTACATTTTACATTTGTTTTGACAGACAAAGTGGATGGTGAGCAAGTTGCAGAAGATAAAGCCAATATACCATTTATATAAAGTTAAACAACTGTGGCGGTGGGTGTATTTAAACTTAATTGTGTTTTGTTTTTTTTCTGTAAAATGGAATAGTAGAGCCAGCCTCACAGGATGACGGGTTGGGGAAACAGTTAGTGAAATAGTTAATGAAATATTGCATGTAAAGTGCTTAGAGTAGTAGCTGGCATGTAAGCATTGTTGGCATAAGCAGTGTTGTTACTGTTTTGCATAATATATTTTCAGTGGATTCAAATTACATGAAGTTCAAGTAGACAGTCATGTACTGGGACTCTGTGGAAAGTGATACTCTGCTTTCCCAGGACAGGAGTTGGGGAAATCAGGGCAGGTACACGGAGCCTTCTGTTGTCTTTTATAAAGTTGATGTAGGTGGGTCAGCATGTTGATCTAAACAGGATAGTGTGGTGGGGTCCTTTATAAACTTTGATTAAAATATTTAATAAAAATATTTTTAAGCATGGGCTCTGTCTGACACCTGATGATTTTATAGAAACCCTGGCTCTGTTACGATGTGATATTACTTAGAGTGAGCCGTCAAATCTCTCCAGGTTTCAGGGTTTTTTCCTGCCAAAATGGAGCAACACAAATGGCCGACTGTAAAGAAATAGTTAAAGCAGTCTGGTACTGCTGTGGTGGCACATGGCAAGGCAGTTAAGGGGCGTGTTATCTCTGTTGGCATAATCGCTGAGACAGGTAGGTGTCAGGAAGTTATAAGCCCTATTTCTTTCATTCTAAAAATAAGAGAAACCAGGAGCTCTAAGTACTTCCAAGTTCAAGGGCCTTGGGGAGGAGATGCTTAGTCAGCCGTCCCGCTTCGTTAGGTAGGTGAGGAGAGGTGGTGAGTCAGTGTCAGAGCAGCTACTGCACCTTTTAAACTGATTCAAAAACTGCTAAAAACAGCCAGGAAGTTTTGCATCAGCCAGTGTCTAGTTAGGAGCCAGAAACCATACCAAAAGAATCTATTAAGGATTGCTCTGGATCCCTAAGAAACTAGAAAGACAAAGAATGCCTTGATGTGTGTGTGTGTTGGGGGTGGGGTGGGGTGTGAGTACCTTCCAAGAGGCAGCAACCACCCCAGGACTGGGAATTAGAATAGAGTTGACCTCAGCGTTGATGTTTGAACACAGACAGCTTTCAAACCCTGCCCCTGCCTGTTGTGCCTCTCATCTGGGCAGCTGAAAGCCCCCGCAGCCCTGTCAGCACTCTAAGGGAAGTTGAAGGAAAGCCTGACTTCATTTTGTGTTGGAACCTTCACCCCTAACCACTGTGAAAGCCAGAGTCACTGACTGGCTTCCAGTCAAGGCACACCAGCAGGCTTGGGTGCCTGTCTTCCTCTGCGTCATTTTGTGCATAATAAACTTTGTCGTAACCTTTTGATGTGTGTGATGTCATTAGTCTCAACATCTGAACTGGTGTGAGCTGGTAGTATAGCACTGATGCCGCCCTCCCCGGGCAGGTTACCGAACAGCAGTGTTACTGTCAACAGTAAGCTATTAGTAGTTTAGGGGAATCAAAAGTTACACTCAGGCTTTTGTTTGCATGGGGTGGGAGGAGATGGTGTCCCTAACCCTAGAATCATGCAAGCGTCAACTGTAATGGGCTGCTGTAACATCCTGTGGCTGGGAAGGTGGTCAAAAGAGCTGGGAACTGGGTTCTGACTAGAGTTGTGGAGTTGACAGTGAAAGCAGCTGCTTTGATGAACTCTAAGAGGTGTGGAGAAAGGAAACCCACTAAACGAGTAACTGCAAACTTAAGATAACTTTGCTCAGCAACACGCGGGAGTAGCAGTCTGTCTTCAAGACCTGTCTCTGTTCTGCAGAGGTCACACAGACCCGCTGAATGGGGCCGTGGTTTCAAGTCTTTGTTAGTGGCACTAATCTTGGCATTTTGACAGGATTGGAGTTTTACTTAAGGTTCACTTTTGTGGGTAGAGGTAATTCGGTGGCTTTGTTTTGGCCTTTCCTACCATAGTAGCTTTTACTCCATGGTTAGGGAACAATGGGGATTCTGCAAGTTTCTGAGTATGTTGTGCTCCAATCTGTATTCCAGACTGGGCAATTAATTGTGTGTGGATCCAGGAACCCACAGCTGTAGGAAGCTGACAAAACTATCTAAGGGTATGCTGAAAGCACTGAGAATGATTTGGTGGCCCAAAGGAACCTCTAATTGGGGCACTGAGAAAAAAAAACAAACCAGTTTAGGACTTACTTGATGGCATAAGGGAACACAAACTATTATAGCCACTGTGGCATAAGAGTTCCATCTCCACCAGGGAGCTCACACACATGGCGCGGTAGACCTCTCCCGTCTTGCCCGCTGCTCCCCTCAGCAGTGTACTTATTCAGTCTGTCTGTTCTGCTCCCCACTCTGTCTGGTGAATCCTCTTACCCCACGCACCTCTGGCCTGTACCCCAGTTCTTGTATGCATAAATAAAAGAAAATCTTTGAAAAATTAAACATATTACATGACAGACTACATTAGGGTTCTCCTGAGAAACAGAACCAACACAGGTGAGAGGGTGGGGAGTGCTGTTAGTTGTGGGGGCAGAGCAGCCTAGACCCCAAAGTGCTGGTTTACTTCCAGTCTGAATCAGGCGCAGGAGGCTGATGTCCCTGTCTGAAGTTGGGTATAGCTTTTCTTCCAGTGGCCTTCAGTAGGATGAGGCCCACACACTTGAGGGCCTCTGTGCCTCCCTCTATTGATTATTCAGAAAAACTTTAAGAGACACATCCAGAAATAACGTTCAGGCAAGCACTGAGTTGCACAGTCCCCACAGGTTGAGACAAAATCCTCCATGCCTTGTATTTGGAAAGGAGGGGCCGATGCCACCTGTGTGTGACAAAAGGCTGTTTGGCAAACTGGGCAACTCGCTTCCTTAGGGGACTTTGTTTTAGTATCTAGAGTCACCTTAAACTCTATAGCCAGGGATGGTTTATTCAGATGGCTGTGCAATGGGATGACTTGTCAACGTGCTTGTTTCCCTAACGCCCCTGTGACTTCTGACGTTAAGGTTTTAGCACACTGGAAAGAGCACTGGGAACATCATCAGAAACACAGGTGCTGAGGAGGGAGAAGACACTTAGATTTAGCTGCATAATGGAAGGAGGCAACTTTGAGTTCAAATTGTGTTCAGAAGGCAATTGAAGAAAGCAGACTATTGAGAAAGCAGAATTTGCTTTGTTTTTGTCCCAAGATACCTCTCAAATGAATAGTTTTGTCCAAATCAAAATTCCTTAAAAGTGGTCACTATAGCTGTGACTTTGGGTGAAATGAAGCCAGCTAGAAAACTGCATGGACAATCTCAGCAGAGTGAGGAAAATGTGCAGGAAGCAGGGGCTGGCCTGGAAGCGACAAAGGGAGATAGTCAGACCCCAGGCAACAGAGCTGTGTCCAGGGGATGGTGCGAGTAAGTGCAGAGGTCAAAGGGCAATAATTGCCCATCAGAACTTTGAAATGCATGGCAGACAAAGCCCTCACAGCTTGTTTTTCTAGAGTTAAATGCCAGAAAGGAGGTGGGAACTCTAAGCCTCATAATATTCACAGCCAGTTTTCCAAATCAAGTGGGACACAGTAATGGAATGAATTAATGAAGGTACTGAGAAAAACAGGGGGGCTCACTTGGGGCCGAGATAAGTAGGGAGGGATGAGTGGGGAGAGGGAGGAGAGGGGATAGAGGCTGTCTTGTTCACCTTAGCAATAGCCTTGGGCTAGGAACAGGCAGGTGGCAGGGCCTGGGCAGGCTGAGGCCTGATGCCAATGGAAGAAGCTGCTGGTGGACATCTGGGGCCTGGAGGAGGCCAGGGCTAATGGAGTACTTAGTGGAAATTAAGAATGACCCCACATCAGGTGGGCACAACTGGCGAGGAGGAAAAGTTAGGGAAGCTGGGAGAGTTCAAGAGGGCAGGCCATTCCGTCTACTGTCAGGCTGATGGCCCAACAGCTGTCACTCTTGGCAGCTGCTGGTCTCTGGAGCAGGAGGACCCCAGGCAGGAGCAGCCCAGACGGCGGGGGGGGCAGGTGCAGGATCTCAGCAGAGGCAACCGTGGGGCACAGAGCAGATTCTCATGTAGACAAGGCCATGAAGGGGATGGGTGGGCCAGGGTGAGCCAGATCCTGCTGGTAGGGAGTGGATCTGTGAGAAATTCCCAGCCCATCATTCTGAAAATGTCACCAGAACAGAGGAGGACTGGTCCCCTGCATGTATGTGTCTGGGTCCCAAAGAAACATGTTTGCTTATGTACAAACAGAAGCTGTTTGTAGGTCGTTTGATGAGACTGGTGGAAGCCAGGAGCTGTGGGGAGGGGAAGAGCAGCTGCCAGGGACCCCCCTGGTTTGGGGACATGATGGGAGGGGCGTTGAGGGGGAAGTATGTGTGTGACTGCTGGAGAGTGTGAGGTCACCAGGCGGAACCTAGGCTAGGGCAGGGTGGGAAGCCCTTTACACAACAAAGGTTAAGTTGCTAGGAGCCCCAGAACCTTCTAAGGCGCCTTCTCTGAAGCTCCCTCCCACAGACTCCTCCACCTCAGACTTTTGGACAGGTGAGCTTCAAACCCTTCAAACCTTTCTAGTCCTCAACTCCTGGCTAACCTCTACCTGCTCAACTCACCGATGCCCTTGCTACCAGCTGCCCTGATTCTGGGAATCTGGGCAAGATGTCTGACTTTCCCCTGGCCCGATGGACTAGCTGGGGAGAGTGGGCCACCCTCTCTGCCTGAAGGCGAACTGGGGTTTCATGTAGGATGCAGATGTCAGGAAAGCAGGATGACGTTCTAGGTAGATACCTTGCCATTTCTCAGCGGGGATAGTCACTGTCCATCCTGAAGATGGCAAAACAATTAGCCATTGTGGTAGGAAGGAAACAGGAAGCGCCCACCCCAGCTGAGAGGCCACTGCAAACAAAGATGGGCTTGAGCGTGGGAGGCATCAGCGTTATAGCCCTGCTCTCTCATGGGTGCTGGGAAGGGGTGCACATGTGTACATGTTCCTTTTTGCTGCTGTTACACATGATCACAGATTCACCTGCTTGTGTTACAGGGCACCCCAGTGTGAACTGGGCCACCTGTCTTTGGGGCCTCACCCACGCTTAAAATTCAGCAGGCACACGCAAAAGGGTCAATAATGGGTTTATTTACAAAAGGGGAAAGGAAAAGGAACAAACCAGGGAAAGAGAAAGACACAAGGTAATTAGAATATCTTATGTGCTCGGCTGACTTGGAGCTCTGGTAAACTAACTGATAGCACCCAGTCAGGTGGGAGAGAGAGGGAGAGAGAGGGAGAGAGAGAGAGAGAGGGAGAGAGAGAGAGGGAGAGAGAAGGAGAGAGAGAGAGGGAGAGAGAGAGAGGGGGAGAGTCGGCTATGACAGAGTTGAATTGCATGGAAGATATCAAAGACACATAACTAGCAGGGTCCATGAAACTGCTGGTATTCATGCTTGCACATAGACTCCCTGCCCCACCCCCATGCCCCTGAACTAGATCAGGAAACAAAGTATGCTTCTTAGTTGGTAAAGATAAAACATATTTGAAAAGACAAGAACACCCCAGAAATCATCTGGAGCCTGGGTGAGGCCTGCTTCTGCTCCTGGGCCTGGAGCAGCAGCACGGCAGCTCTCTGCGGGTCCTAGCAAGGGTGGCTTGGAGAAACCAGGTCTGGTGGCTCCCTGTGACCCTGACTGTGTAGGTGGAGTCCTCTACCCCACTCTTCACATCTGTTAGATGCACCTGTGTTGCCTCGATTTCTCCTTTGTAGCTATGTCTAGGAGTCAGTTTGGACATGGGAAGAAACCTCTAGATACCTTTCACTGGGTAAACGAGGTAACTGGAGAAATCACCTACCCCCCACAGAAGGCGGACGCACCCGCAGCTTCTCCAGCTCCTCCTGAGAACACAGGGAAGAGGAACCCGCCTCAGCGCGGGAGTGTGCCGGACTCCCCTCACAGCGCTGGGGACCCGGTCAGCATTCCAGCGCAAAGGACAGCCTCTCTCCCGCCCCCGAAAGCTTCACAGAAAGAAACTGGCTCAAGAAATCCCCTTCTCGCTCCACCAGCTCAACTCCCGCTGAAAGCCGAGGCCAAGAGCCCCCCTCTGTTCGCCACAATTCCTGTGGTCATCTCATCACCAGGGGGTGCCCTGCCAGCAGTTGGGGCCCTTGGGCCCCCCTTCCAGCCACCAGCCGCCTCCTCCCCTGCCTGTCTTCCTGCCCCCTGGGCCTTCACCGGCAAGCTGAAAAATGTCCTTACGGGCAGTAACCGGTTTTCCTTTTGAACTTGACAACATCTGCCTGGCCACAGCCCCGAAGCGCCATCGCTGTCTGCGCACCGCCACGCTCCGCGAGGACCCCTCTCAGCCCCTAGGGCACACGGGACTCAGCAGTGTTCTTACAAGAACGAACCGAACGCTTCCAAACGCAATATAAATTTAACTCCACTTTTATCTTCCAAGCCATTTGGTATTTTAATCTGTACTCTTTGGGGTTCGAGAACTCATTTCTGGCGCTGGTGTCAGAGCTGTGTGTTTAGCCCCTTCTTGGTCGGGATGGGAATAAACAGCGGGGAGTGTGACCAAAGGGCCCTGGGCACGTTCTGGGCCACCTGGACTCCAGGGAACACTCAGGGCTGTCCTGGGCCCCCCCCCCTCGTCTGGCCCTGGCGTCCCTGGTGAAATAGGCTCTGTGTGATGCTTTGGTGGGACAGGGGGTGGCCTGGCTCTGGGTGGAGCCCAGAGCAGAGCTGGGCAGTGGGCTGTGTGAGGGGTGTGCCTGAAGGAGGGGCTTCCTGGGGCATGCCAGGGGCCTGGGCAGCCAGGTCTGGGGGAGGAGAGAGCCACGTGCCAGGCTGTCCTGCTGAGCCTGAAGCTAGCTGGGACTCAGTGGAGAGGCCGGGGAGCAGGTTTCAGCTCCACTGGGGAGAGCCTCAACTTGTTTAGAGCTGCACCCACCTAGAGGAGTCTTTGGGGAAGACAGTGAGCTCTCCATCACCGGAGGTATGCAAGCAGTCTGGGAAAGCCCTGCTGGGAGGCCAGAAGTGGTGAATTTAGAGTCCCCAGCTGGCAGATGCTGAGAGCAGGGCAAAGGCTGAGAGCCACAAGATGATGGCAGGCATGAGCCGGCAGCTATGATACCGGTGAGGAGTTAACCACAGCTTGCAGGGGTGGGGGTTGGGGGGTTCAATCCTGTGGGTGACAAAGGGAAGCAATAAGGCAAAGTAGGGCAGTGGAAAAGTACCCCAAAGCAGAAAAAACCCCGTCGGAGCTCTTAAGAACAGTGGAGAATTTTTTTTTAATCAATTCTTTATAGATAGTTAGTGAATAATTTTTAAAAAAGATTTATTTATTTATTCATAAAGAACTGGGGTACAGGCCAGAGATGTGGAGGGTGAGAGGATTCATCAGAGACAGAGTGGGGAGCAGAACAGGCAGATTGACGAAGTACACTGCTGAGGGGAGCATCACCGCCTTGTGGTTACCTCCGGGGCAGGCGGGAATCGAACTCATGCGGAAGTGCCTTTAGCTTCTTAGTGCTGTGCTTTAACCCGCTGCGCCACCAGGGAGGGCTACAGTGGAGAATTCTTAAGAGCACTTATGAAAAGGGCGCTACCCGCCTTCAGTAACAGGCTCCTCCCTGGAAACCCCTTCAGCTGTCAGGAGTCGCTGTCAGGAGTCTGTCTCTCATTAAACCTGAGCTTGCTAATCTTCAGTCCTGAACATGGTGATTATTCCTCAGTGGCTAGAACACAAGAACCCAGCCTATGGCCATCTCTAGGGTCCTCCCTAACCCCCTACCCCGGCAGGTGCCCACAGGGTCCCACTGGCCCATGTGCCACGGGTTGGGTGGGTGAGGGGGTGGGGGTGGGGTAGGGGCTGGGAGGCTGCCAGGGCTAAGTACCCTCCCCTCCTGCCAGCACTGCCGCCCTCCAGCTGCTAGATACATTTTCCTGCATTCAGTGACAGACACGGCCCTCATCTCTTCCCACATGTCTCTTGCACTTCCAACTCCCCAGGCTGCTCCTGGCTTCTTCCCACCTCTGTGCCACACAGAGTGTCCTCCAGGCTCAGGGCCTGGGACAATTCCCCAGGCTGGTTCTGATTCTGTGCCCAGGCTCAAGTGAGGGCCCAGTAGACCCTGAAGCACAGAGAGGGCCCGCATGCACTCACAGGGGAGGAGGAAGGGCGTCCTCGTGAAGGGACTGCAGGTGCACAGTTGTGGAGTTGGTAAGACGAAAGGGTCTCCCTCGAGCAGGTAGGGCACTGGCCTCTGGCCTGGCTGCAGTCTGTGTGGGTAAGGGTGAGGCTGGGAGGTGAAGGATTTTGAGGGACCCATTGAGGAGCCTCTTAGTTCCTGGGGGGCCACAGGGCCTTGGTGCAGGGTGTGGAAAGCTGGGCAACTGCTCTAGACTGAAGTGGTGTCGGTGTTTGTAGGAACAGGAAGCCTGAGCAGGAGGGAGGGAGGGAAGCTGAGGTGGGGTGGTGGTGGAAGCTGGAGCTGGGGGCAGGCAGTTGGATGGAGGATTCACCTCCACCTGTCTTCCTGCTCTTTCAGCACCACCTTTGACCAACACCTGGGACTTAGTCAAGGAGAGGATTTTGGTGACTGGAACGAGGCCTGGTCTCTGCACAGACCATGGGCCTGTGCTATGTCAGGGACCCATAGCCTGCAGGCTACAGAGTGGCTTTGCTTGGTCCTGGGGCACCTCAGTGGGGAAGGATGGAGCATGTTCTCCCAGCCTCAGCCTGGACCTGCACCTTGCTCCCCAGGGGCGAGGCCTGGCAGCAGGAATGGTACTTTCTCTGCGCTCTATTCTTTTTACAAAGCCATCAACCTTCTGGGGGATAGTGAGACACAGTCCTGGGCTGGGACATGGGTGCTGCTCCCACAGACCGCTTGGTTGAGGGGGGTGAGGGACCTGCCAACTAGCCTATGCCTTGAGCCAAGTGCAGTTTCACACTGGGGGGGAGGGAGGTGGGGAGCACAGCAGAGCTGGGCCCTCCCAGGGCCAATAGTACCGCAATGCCCACTTAACCTAGCCTGGGAGGTACACTATAGCCAAACCTGGCTGGTTGTCCCAGCGCCGACCCTCAGTCCTCACCACAAGACCCCAGCCATCAGAACAGGCCGAGGTGTCTCTTCCCTCCAGAGTGTACTGGCTGCTTTGCTTGGGAAATAGTAGAGCAAAGCCCACACACTTTGCTTTTAGGAAGTAGCGGGTCATTCAGGCCTAGCTCACAAGTAGCAAGGCCGCATCGGGAGTGGAGTCAGGACTGTTTCTCCTAAAAGTGAATGAGCTGCTGCTGGAGGACTGAAGGCCCACAGCATCTGTGCGGGGACACAGAGTCGTCTCGTGGGAGCACCCAGGAGGGGACAAGCCAAATCTGCTGCTGAGACCATCCGATCCCCACCACTTCCCGCCAAGAGCCCAGAATTGCCTCACTCCAGTGAACTGGGGACAGAACCCTCCGGGTAGCTGAGGTGAGGTGGCTGCCTCTGTGGGAACCTGGGCTAGCGTAGGGGCGGTGGGAACCCCAGGACGCTGGGACAGTGCCCTGAGTTGGAGGGGCTCACTTCAGAGATCTGTGGCTGGGATTCCCACAGAGCTTACAGGCCCCACAGTGAGCTGACCTGAGCAGCCCTTTAGTGCTACCTGCTGCTCCTCAAGGCCCACCATCCTGCTCAGGGCAGCTGCTTGGAGTGGAGGCTCTTAGGGGAGGAAGGAAGAAGGGCCCAGGGAGACCTACGAGGCTTTGGACACTCGTCTTCAGGAAGGGGCAGCCTGAAAAGTGGGTTCAGCCCCAGTGAGCTGAGGGCCAGTTTTCCCTTGGGGAGCCTGGCTCTGCGATTCGGGAGAGGATTTCTGACCTGAGGCTTTGTAGCTCGCAGGGCCTGACCCTGTGCAGTTTTCAGAGGTGGGACAAAACTTTCCTTTTCACGATGGATTGGGAGAGGAGTTCAACAGGCCTAGGCAGGCCACCAATGTCCTGTGATTTCTTATACATCATATTTGTATAACTATTAATAAAGACTAAGAACAAGTTATCTGATGAATGTAGCTTTATTATGCAACAATCAGTCGAGAGAGTCCACTTCAAAGCATATTACTGAGGATTCCATATTTGTTGACTTGAGAAATGGCATAACCCGAAACCATTTTTCCAATAGATTTTCTTACGTAACCGTTAAGGAACTGTTTTACTCCCATCATCTGGCTCTGGAAAATCTTTATAGGCAACATTTATTACATTAGAAAAAAAAAAAAGGTACAGTTGTTAGGCATGGATAAAAAGGTATAATATGCATCGATTCTAATTATTATAAATCAACACTTTTGAACACACTTTTGAATTGAAACAATTTAATCTGTTTTAGATATATTAAAAACATATTTCAAGAACAACTTGTAACATCTTTCCTTTTGAATCCACTGCAGGGAAAGTTCCTTTCTCATCTTTAGCAGTAAGAGTCACCAAAACAGTGACTCCAAACCAGGATTCACTTTTTCCTTTTGAGAAACAGGCTAAGTGGATTGGGCCTGGTTAAAAATGTTACCCTGGTGATTTGGTGATGGGAAACCCGCGGGGATTACAATCAAGATGGAAAAAAAAAATGTGCAAAATGATGTAAAAATAAACTTTGTAATAATAAAAAAAAATGTTACCCTGGGGGACACTCAGCAGTGAGAGAGGCTGGGCTGTGTAAGACCCACACAGATGTGGCCCAGACGTGGCTCTGAGGGGCTCTAACCTGTGTTGCAGACACTGGTCGGAGCAGGAGGACCGTACTGAGAGGGGTGACTGGGACCCTGACTGGTCTTTGCCACCTGCACTGGATCCTACTTCTAAAACACTTCAGGAAATCAGCGAGGCTTTTCCTAGATAAATTTGTCATGAAAACAAATGAGTCACCTCAATGAATGATTCAAAACTGGTAAAGCACTGTTGGTTTCGTGCTCTACGAGTTACAGTATTTTAATGGGTTGGGAAAACTTAACGGATATAAATTCTCTGTCACAAAACACCTGAGGATATTTTGCGCACTGGTTTTCAGTCATTAATTGCTTTCTCTCTTTGCTTATTTTAGGTAAAATTTAGTTGTCTTCATTTTTGCTACCCATCCACCATCTGTTCGAACATCACCTGTCCGTGCTGGCTGCAAAATACATGTGTGTGGATACAGGGGGGCACCCAGAAAGGTGTTTGCTGAATTACATCACACGTGGGAGTGAGTGCTGTTAATTTAGAAGTGCCTGAGTGAGGCCTGTTTGTACTCACCAACATCGATTCATATAAAAATATGTTTATCTTTAAAACTCTGGAGAGGCTCTCACTTAACATACCACCAAAATATGTTCTTTTACCTTAACATCTTTTAACTCAGTCCTTCCTGTCAGGTAAGAAACATTGTAAGACTGGGAGCTAGAATCTTTTAAAAACAAGCTTCTTAGTAGAAGTTAAAATTTTTTTTAAAAAGTCTATTTTTAAAGCAGTGGTTAGAAACTTGGTTTTTATAATACGCAAATAACACTGTTTTTTCAAAATGGATTTAAATAAGTCTAACAGTTTCCTATCTCTTTAAAAGATAATACAGATTTTGGTTATTTCACAGCTTCTCCATTTTTCCAATTCCAAGGAATACAAAGGTCTCCATCTTGCATAACAGAGTAAAAATGTGAAACACAGAGATGCATCCCTTGTAGATAAGGCAGTGATTGTTCTAGAAGTCTCTTACAACAGTCCACCATCTGTTTGCTGGATACGCTGGGCTCCTTGTAGAACTTTTCCAGAGAAAATTTATTTGCTGAAGCCTGCATCAATTCATTTTCAATAACCTTTAATCTGTTATGTTAAAAAATAAACAAAATATTGTCACAAATTATAACCAAATAGAACTGTAAATATACTTTTATACATCGGGCTGAGATATTCTACTCACAGTGCTGAAAATGGCATCCACAAATGCCCCCTTACCTCTTAGAAAGGCAGTTACCACACAACCAGCACCTACTGGCTTATTTTCACACGTGTTTCTGTAAGTACTTTTTAAATCTTTGTTTTGCAGCCATGGGGTAAAATAACACACACTTTAAAGAACTCTCTGGCCTTGGCTAGCGGCTTTTAGGCACTGAGGACTATCCAGCTTGAGGAGCCCTTGGGCTGTGCTGCCTTGGAAACCTTCTCCATCAACAGCTGCTGGCAGACCAGGCAGACTGGCGAGGGTAGCTCCTTTCCTCTCTGGCTCCTCCATCAGCTCCTCCCCCTGGCCCAGGGCTATGACATCTAGTGTTCAAGGGCTGGAGTTAAGGCCCATGAGGGAAATGACTCAGCGCTTCAACACTTTCTCCTGAAGGTGGCTGAGGATATGCACTTTTAGTACATGGATTCAACCCCCCAAACCTCGGCTGTGTGGAAGAGGACTCAGCCTTGTCACACCCTCACAGGTGTACCAGGCCAGCAGGAGCCTCGCTTGGGAAACTGTAAGGAGAATAAAAGAAAACTGCAAGGCTCCCTTCCCGAGGGCTCATCTTTCCACTCCGCTCCTGGCTACTACTCACCCTACAGTGCTCACATCTCCTACCAGAGATACTCAGGGCCAGGGGCCGGGATCTCGGCCTTCTATCCCTGGCAACTGCGCTGGCGTTGGGCACACCACAGTCATAGCACATGATGGAGGAAGGAATAAACACCTGGAACCAAACCTCTTCAGAAAAGCAGCTCCCTTTGGAATAATACCTTCCCTGGGTGAGCAAAACATTACCCAGCATTGTCCCACGGTCTACAAAAGAGGAAACCATGGGCTATAACATGATTTCATCAAAGACACAAGCTGCATGGAGACAGCATAGCCAACAAGCTGAGATAATTTTTGAACTCTAAAGTTTTTTCTCATTTACTTGAAATGCAGATGAAACTTACTGTATATCAGTTACTTTCAAATTTTAAATAATGGAGTCCCGTGATTCAAGTAATGATTTTGCACCTGTTGCCACCCTTTCACATCTGGGGATTTCTTTCTGATGGTCTTATCTTTTCTCCTGCTCTAGAGTTGACATTTGTATTAACGAGCCCTGCTTCCCAGATTGAGGTACGCGGTGGGAATATCATTAGGTCATGGCACTTAGAAAACAGTCACATCCAATCTCTGGCAGAACAAGATGGGGAATAAATAACTATGGAATATTCCATGTCAGTCTCCTATGTTTAATACCCATTTGTGAATTTCGATGTCTGGATTTTCAGGCTGGGTTGAATGACAAGGCATGGAGGGGTGGCAGCACTTACTCCTCTCTTCTTTTCATGTTCTCTCTGGCCTGTTGAGCTTTGGTAAGAATAAACCACTGGAGGTTTGCTGGATCACAGAGAATTGGGATGTTAAAATGCCCGAGTTCATGCACGCTTGGAGCATACCTGTCACTGGAAAGAGACATACATGAAAGGACAAACATTTGTTCCTCCATCCCCTGCGCCTCAGCCCCAAAGAGAACATTAGTCTGATTAACTGAAAAGGGACTTGCCTTAAAGGTGCTGCAGATTGACATAAAGTTCTGATGTCCCTAAAGACACAAACTTCATACGTCACCCACATCCTTCCTAGCCCTGTGACCTCAGTCATTTGTGAAATGGGGTGATAACCCACTACCACTGAGGCGATGAGGTTAAGGAGAAGGCACTTAAGCACCATGCCCCGTGCCTGGCAAGGAGTGTGTGAGGGAGAAATGTGGATCACTGACTCAACACGAGCTTTCCAGAGGTTGGCTTAACCCTGTCAGTGGCAATATATTTACAGAATAGAGATTCAATCCTTCAATCCTGTTTTCTAACATATAAAAGAATGTCATGGATAGAGCCATGACAAGCTTTTTAAAATTCCCATGAGCCACCCAGTGAAATCCAATACAGGTCCCACCCAAACCACCTAAGGGAAAGAATAAGAATAATTTCCCTGTTTAAGACAGTTACCTATTCAGGATCATTTGTAAGCCACGCAGACTTCGAGGGTGGAAAGGTATTCTACTTTTCAATAGTCTGTTGTAGAACACATCAAGAAGAGAGTAATATTCTTCAAGGGTCAATACTGGCTGTAATTCTTCGATATAAACAACTTGGATGCCACCTAGAAGATGGCTTATTTGATCTTCTAAAAGCATTAGCCTCCTCTGAAGGTCAAAATAACTTGGCAATCTTTCAAAAAGCTACAATGTTGAAAAAGGAAAAATATTAAGTTTTCTATTACTGAAATAGCTGAGAAATAGCTCTGTTTAGAATGGAAACATGTTTTTGGAAATTTTAACAGGAAATTATTTTCCTAGAATACAAGTTCAAGTAAGTGATAAAAAGACAATGTAATGCTATCAATAGAAATACTGATATTAAATAAAAGCCACTGTAAATCTTAGGAATTTTTAGATAGGATCTAAAACCTTCCAAATACATCCTGTCATTTAAATATTCAGGTAAAACACACGTATTACTTAATATGATTAAATGATACGATAAAGAAGGGCCTTAGAAATAAAATGTAGGGCCCTCGCTGGTGGTATAATGCGTTGGAGTGCAGCACTGTGAAGCTATAGCACCCACTGCAGCACGAGTTCAATCTCTGGCCAGGGAGCCGACCCACATGGCGTGGCAGACCTCCTGTCCTGCCCGCTGCTCCCCTCAGCAGTGTGCTTCATCAGTCTGCCTGTTCTGCTCCTCACTTTTGTCTCTGGCAGGTCCTCTCACCCTGCACCTCTGGCCTGTACCCCAGTTCTGTATGTATGAATAAATAAATCTTTAAAAACAAACAAAAAAGAAATAAAATGTATATTTTACAACTCCTGGTCTATTTTAGGACTCAGATTTTACATAGAAAGTTGGGTTACACAAGTTTCAGAGGGATCAAAAAGCTTCAAAAACTATAATCAGAGCAGTCAGCAGTGTAAATATACTAATTACTTATAATGTACTTCTAGCACTGTGTAAAATAATTCTGCCTACTTTTTCAATGTTTTGCTCGATGGGTTAGTCATGTGTCAATGTAACTACAGTGGAAAGCAGCTTTTTTTATTGTATTGTTGATAATGAGATTCACACATTTCTTTACCCAGTTTTCCTAATGGTAACATCTTTTTTTTTTAAAAAAAAGATTTATTCATTCATACAGAACTGGGGTATAGGCCAGGGATGCGGAGGGTGAGAGGATTCACCAGGGACAGAAGTACACTGCTGAGGGGAGCAGCGGGCGGGCCAGGAGAGGTCTGTCGCGCCATGTGGGTCACCTCTGGGATGAGGATCGAACTCATGCAGAAGTGGCTTAAGCTTCTTAGTGCTCTAACCCACTGCGCCACCAGGGAGGGCCTGGTAACATCTTTTAAAACTACATAATGTCACAATCAGAAAATTGACCTTGATACAATTCATGTACCTTATTCAGACTCATGAGTTTTACAAGCCTGAGTGTCTGTGTGTGTGTGCACAGTTTTATTCCATGTGGGCATTAGTATTGACACACTATAGTCAAGTTCAGAAAAGGTTGATCAAAAGGGTCTTTCATGCCACCCTTTTATAGCCACAGTCACCTCTGTTCCCCCACTCCCCATCCCCTGGCCACCACCAATTTGTTCTTTTTTTAAAAAAAGATTCATATATTTATGCATACAAGAATTGGGGTACAGGCCACAGAGGTGCAGGGGATGAGAGGTTTCACCAGAGACAGAGTGGGGAGCAGAACAGGTGGGCTGACTGAAACACACTGCTGAGGGGAGCAGCTGAGCTCCTGCGGCAGGGGCTGGGGACCTCTTCACAGTGCTGCACTTTGACCCCTTGCACCACCAGGGAGGGCATCCGATGTGTTCTTTCTATAATGTTATTACCACAAGAGTGGCAGGTGAATAGAATCATGCAGTATATAGCCTTTTGAGAATGGCTTTTTTACTAAGCCCAAGGCCCTTGAGATCCCCCTAGGTTGCTGCTGCGCTAGTGGCTCCTTCCTCTGCAGTGCGAGCAGTACCCCCTTGAGTGGACTGACAGCTTTCTTTAACCAGTCACGCACTGAAGGGCATGTGGTTTCTTCTAGTTTGGGGGCTATTATGAATGTCTGTGTGCACATTTCATATGAATTTTATAGTTTTTCAGTTTTCTAGTGGAAATGTCTGAGACTGATGTGGCAAACACACATTCAGTTTTGTGAGAATTGGTCCGACCCTTCGCCAGAGCGCCTGCAGCACTGGGGTTCCGGCAGCGAGGCCGAGTGCTCCAGACTTTCTGCATCCTCACCGCCAACTGGTGCTGACACCCCCTTTCACTTTAGCCATCCTGACGGTGGGTAGTGCTTTATTATAGTTTTGATTTGCCTTTCTCTATGGCTCCTGATACTGAACATCTTTCCATGTGCTAATTGTCATCTGTGTGGCCTCTGGTGACATCAGTCTATGTCTTTGGCCCATTTTCTGGTTAAACTGTTTCTTACTGTTAAGATTTGATCGTTCTAGATGTATTTTTAGATATATCTTATGTGTAAAAATCTATGTTTTTTATTTAAAGTCTTTGTGAGATATGTGGCTGGCAAGTATTTTCTAGTAAATATTTTATTTGAACAATCCATCATCAACATTTATAGATGGTGATTATCTCTCTTTTTAAATTTCAAGATACTTTATTTTTAAAAGAGGTCACTAAGCTTTTGGCCCAGTCTGCCAATTAACAAGCTACAAATGCTTGCTCTATAGCTGACGGGCATTCTTAAGTCACGTTTGAGGAACATGAATAAAAATCCACGTGAAACAAATATGTGAATATTTTTCATAAGAATACAGGTAAGTATGACCCTACCTCGCAGTCGCCTGTATGGCTGCATCGTTCCCAACCCTACTTAGAGTCATTTCAGAACCGGCAGTAACTTGGTTAAGCCACTCCACTAAATCACTCCATTTACGCTGCGCTCCTTAGCGGTCGTCAGAGTGACAGAGACACACTAACAGCAGCGCAGCACGGGCTGCCGGGTGCTGCTTCCTCCGTCTCGCCCAGGTGCACGAACAAGCAGAGTTCTGACATCCACACAGGGGCTTTGTTTCTAACAGCCCAAACCTGACACAACCCAAGGTCCTTCAACAGGCAAGTGGACAAACACTGGTACAGCAGCACAATGAAATGGTGTATGGCAATAAGAGAGAAACTTTTGAGACACACAGTAGCATGGCTGAATCTCGACTACGGACTGGTTTTTAGCAGGTACAGGTGTCAAATATCATCCAGTTATATACACTAAATATTGTGCACCCATTATACCTCAATAAATCTTTGGAAACAAGAGAATGCAGGCTTAGGCTGGAGTTCAGAAAAGATTACAACATTTCTAAATAAAAGCTGATTTAAAAATCAGTTAGGTTTTAAAAATCATTTTAAAAATCATTTTCACTCTGTGATTTTAAGAATTTTAGCAAAAAACAGCTTAAGTTACAGTTTAAATACCTTTTTAGTTCCTTGACATAACAGCATTGCTTAAAACAGAAGGATGCCAACGGCAAAAATAGTTTGGTTTTACTTTTAAGCTTTCTCTTACTTTTGTCCAGTGATGGTGGACATCCATGGTTCCTAGCATCACATGGCCCACTGCACTCATTCCGGATCGGTCTGTAAAGATTATTGTACACCCTGATGATAAAACACAAACCCTCTGATCACTGTTCTGAGACGCTTCATTCAGCATTGTGCAAACAGTTACTCCGTGTCTGAATTCAGGATTAAACGCAGTAGAAGAGTAAAGGCTAATTTTATGTCACTTTTTATTCAAAGGAACAGATTAAAAAACGCAGTTGTGTTAAAGTCACATCTCAAGGACTGTTAATAGTTTCCCCCTACAATTTACAGGTGGGTATAGCAGCTGTTGGATATTTTAAAAGAAAATGGAAATTGTTTACCTTTTGCATGTTTAAGTGTTTCCAAGTCCTGCTGTGCTAAGCGGCCTAAACTATGCAGCTGGCTGCAGCGGTGGGCGATGCCCCAGCTCCTCTGCCACCTGGTTCAACAGAGCACACAGGCGCGTGACCACCCGGCCCCCGGAGGGCTGCACTCACCCCACGCCGGCTCCCGTGGAAGCCAACGAGCTTCGTCAGAAGGCACACACGTATCCGGGCTAGCTCATTTCTCGTGAAGGAACTAAATCAAAAGTGTCTTATCGGGGGCAAAATGATACTACTGTGTTTAGGTAGCCAAGGATTTAAAACAGGCAAACACCCTGTTGCTTCTATTTTAAAGTAAGAGGGTAAAAGGGGAAAAAGTTGGAAAAAAAATCTTTTCACATGTTAACTGGTGATAATCTGGTTTAAGATTTAAATTTCAATTCGAAATTCCAGTTATGCTTATAAGATCCTTTTTATCTTATTCTAGAGAACATGAGTTTGACGGCACCGTGTAATCTGCTCATTTTACAAATGACTATTAATTCTTAGCAGTGAAATAGCCTCTTATGGTATGACGTGCATCAGACAGCATTGCACACGGAAAAGCTCTGGCCTGCTGCGTGTCAGGAAACTCACCTTGGAATTCTAAACCCACACTTCACCAGCTCTGTGACCTTGAACAAGTTGCTCCTTGCATCCCAGTTTCTCTTTCACACAAAGTGGGGACATTGACCTGGACCGCAGGAAGTATATATTGGACAGCATCTGAAGGATGCTTGTGAAGAAGGCACCCCAAACAAGCTCTCAGAAAAGTTAAATTCTGATGAGTGTCATTTCTGATAAAATGTAATCAGTTATTTTTCCTTTATCCACAATTAAAAAAATCAAGATATAATTTCAAAGAATTATGTACTGGGACAGGCTGTTTTTATTAATTAGTAAGTGGTCTTTAACACAGGCTGCTTATGATCAGGGACAATATCAGGAGTCATGATGCTTGCATTTGTGGGGGTTGTGGGGAGGGAGCTGATTTCTAGGAAGGTAAGAAGCTGTCTTGTTCATGGTCATCAAATGTTTTAGTCTCAGAACCTCTATGTTCTTTACAAACTGAGAATTCTCAAGAGCATTGGTGTACATGGGCTTAATGTACTGATATATATCATAATAAGAATCAAGTTATGAAAGTTGTGAAATTTCTCTACAATATTTTAAAATAATGTTTCTTTTAATATTTAGTCAATGTTTTCATTTTCTTTTTATTTTACAACAGTTTACTTTTACATCATTTTGTACATTTTTTTCCATCTCAATGTTTTCATTTTCTTAATCCCAGTTTGATTTGATAAAACTTTTAGCATGTATACTAGAAAATGTTATTTTCATGTATTTTATAAACTTTGAAAAAAGGATCTTACTATTTTGTTTTTAGTTAGAAAAGTCTATACTACTAGACTGTGCAAGTGGAAGAAGCCTCTTAGAATCAAAGTTTGGCCCCCAAACGATACATGTGATGACAAAAGAGCAGTTATCAGCACAAATCCAAACACCATACCCACTCTGAGTCTCAATACTGTCTTTTGAAATGTGAGTAATCTCAGATAACTATGATTTCAATGAGAACAGAACATATAAATATTATCTGCACTGTGAAAGCACAGGAAGAAGGTGAGAATATGGCACCCCAATAGTCTTCTAGTTCAGTGTAAGAAAAATGTCCTGCTCATGAGGGTTGAAAACTATAAAACTGACTAAAGCAAAAAGTCATAGGAATGCTTAGGCACAAAGCCTGACGATCATTTTCGGGCTCTTCTCCTTTTTAACAACTCTTGAATCTCCCTTCACAGAAGTTTCAGTGTGTATCTTTATACAATGGTGATCTCCTGGTTTATGACTGTTGGCAACCTGCTGCCCTAATGGGAGCCAGTGTTCTGAGAGAACCTGTTTACTCTGCATTCAGAGCTCCAAGAGCTTAGAAGTTCTGCAAACAGAACTTCTTCCAGAACCTACTCCTACTCTCTGAGGACATGCTTGCGGGCACAACCCCTATTAACTAGAAAAACTTGTTCCAGCAGTAACTTGTTAACTTGTGTAGGCAACACAAGCGCGCTAGCTTGGGCCTTGGGCCGGGGGCAGAGCTGCGCTCTCCTGCCAGCCCGCACCTGCTGCAAATTCATTTAGACTCCCAGTCTCTGTTCACAGCTGAGTACTTCATCGGCTGTCAGCAGCATATAACAGCTTACTTAACGAGTCACGCTACACGACAGACCAACGACTCAACATCCATTTTTTCTTTATTATTTTTAAACCCGAATACTAATCTTAAGTGATGTGGAAAAAATTTTAAATATACTATGTGTATATGGAAAATGACAATTTTCTTGCAAAAAAAACAACAAAAAAACTTGTGCTAAAAAAGTCATGATATGAACCTTACTATTTTAAACAAGAAATTGATAATAGCTTTCTTATATAGATGAACACTTGATGACTTCCATAAAAAGATAACTGAAAACCTTATTACCAGAACAATTAAAGATGCAAACACTTAAGTGTTGGAAAGCTTTACCAATAGATAATGTATGTTTATTTTAATCTCTAAATTAGGTTCTCTTTTTATTACCTGATATCTGTGAGTTGCAACTGATGAGACAGCTCATCTTTTAAGCGATCTAGTTCTTTTCTAAGTGGCAAACTATTCTTCAGCTTTTTAAAAGCAGTTTTTCCATTGTTATCTAACCAGGACCTAGAGAGAAAAAACACAACACTAGAAATATGTATATTTATAAACACTTACCAATACTAACAATACTAACCTTACGGCAGATACCGCTACTATTAAAAGACATATGCATGACCTTAAAGTTGCTCCAATGTTACAATGAGTTTCTATCAAAGCTCTAACCCACCTGCAGTCGTTCCTCTCTGTCCCCTCTTTCCACTGTCCCTCTGGTGGCCCTGTTAACGCTACCCAGAAGCCTCTACTACCTGCCTGAGCTTTCCCTACCTCCACTCCTCTCCTGCCCGCCTCGCCCCAGTGTCAGCTTTTGGGGGAATCTGCATGGAGGCAATTCTTTGTATTATTCTTACAGATGTTCTCTAAGTCTGGCAGTACGTCAAAATAGCAATAAAAGAGATTTAAAAAGGTAAGTTCGGGCCCTCCCTGGTGGCGCAGCGGGTTAAAGCACAGCACTGAGAATCTAAAGCCGCTTCTGCATGAGTTCAATTCCCGCCTGCCCCGGAGGTGACCACATGGTGTGGCAGACCTCTCCTGACCCGCCCCGCTGATCCCCTCAGCAGTGTACTTCGTCGATCTGCCTGTTCTGTTACCACTCTGTCTCTGGTGAAGCCTCTCACCACCCCTGAGCCTCTGGCCTGTACCCCAGTTCTGTATGCACAAATAAATAAATCTTTAAAAAAAAAAAAAAAAAAGTTAAGTTCGGTCCTCCCTGGTGGCGCAGCAGGTTAAAGCACTGCACTAAGAAGCTGAAGCCACTTCCGCTTGAGTTCGATCCCGCCTGCCCCGGAGGTGACCACATGGCGCGGCAGACCTCTCCTGACCCACCCGCTGCTCCCCTCAGCAGTGTACTTCGTCGATCTGCCTGTTCTGCTCCCGGCTCTGTCTCTGGTGAGTCCTCTCACCCTCCGCATCTCTAGCCTGTACCCCAGTTCTATATGAATAAATAAATAAATCTTAAAAAAAAAAAGTACTAATCCATTATCTTTAAAAAAAAAAAAAGTTCCAGGTTAATATTTTTAAGAACTTAGAAAACGTCTATTTTTGAATTGATGAAAAAAAAAAACAAACTGGGGAAAAAAAGAATTTTATAATTTTGGTGCTTGATGTATGAGAGATGCCATCCTGTATGTCAGGATTTTGCTCAAATCAGTAAAACTAACAAGTCAGATGAAGGTCATCATGGGACACATTTTTGCAATTTTTTTATGCCCGTTGGCTTCTGCAGTATTAGTAACCCATATATTTAATTTCTTTAACACACTTTCAATAGGTGTGAGGGTCCATTCTTATATTAAAAGAACTCACAATTTGTTTCAATGATTAATTAAAATAACTTTGTACTTATTTTGTAAATAGTTATAAAATTGTTGAACCATTTGAGAGCTTTCAAAATTTAAGACCTGAGTGACTGTGCCTTGAAAGAGAATCAGGGGCCCAGAAACATCAGACTGCCACCCTGGCTAGGCACAGTTTGACTTATACTCATGTAGAGCTGAGGTCACCCCTTTAGTTTCATAAGTCCAGAACTCTAAGAAATGCTGACTACATATATAAAAAACATTTAAAAAATGAAGTTTTCTAAGGTGTTACTTAGTAATCACTAATATGGGTTTTTTACAAAACAGTAGTAGTTTTTTAAAAGCTTTACCATAACATAACAGGTGTTAACAGTCACTTATTTTTAGTGTGTTCAAGTTGTACGATCACTACCACAATCAACTTCAGGACAATTTCATCACCCTGATAAGAAATTATGTACCCCTTAGCAATCACTCCAGTCCTCCTAGCCAACTATTATTCCAACCTGGCTCTAATGATGGATCTATTCTGGACAGTTCACATAAATGGAATCGAGTGCTAACAGTCCATTGGACCAGCTTCTTTCGTTGAGCGTCATGTTTTCAAAGTTCAACTATGTGCTAGCATGTATCAATCCTGTGTTTATTCTTATGGCCAAATACTATTCCACTTATGAATGTAGCTCATTTTGCTTACCATTTATCGGTTGACAGACATTTGAGTTGTTTCCACTTTTTGGAAATGATGAATAATGCTACTGTGAACAAGTTTTTGTGTGGACATCTGTTTTCCCCTACACTTTTGTCAACATTTGCTGTTCTCTTTTTGATTACAGCCAGCTGAGGGCATTATGAAGTGGTATCTCACAGTGGTCAATTTGTTTACTGATCTTGTCTTGATTAAATAAAATGTTTTCATCATGCCTGTAATAGTATAAAGAATGCATGCATTGCTGTAAGATCCAGGCGAAAAGGAAAAAGGTGACAATGGAATGAGGCCAAAAGAAAGTTGTTAAATAAAATGAAAATGGTAATACCATGCATAAGGATCTAAAGCTGGATTGCAAATTGAAGATGTTTGGGTTAGTTCCTAGGGTAAGGATGCTGCTGAGTTAAATAATCTTTCAGTCATCTCAAGAGAAGTTCAGTTTTTCAAGTGTTGAAGAAGAAAAGGTGAGCCAAGATCCAAACTGCAGCAACTCACAGTCAGAAGTAGCATGAATCCAGCACACACACCGGCCCCCAAGAATTTTGAGAAGCAATATTACGACAACACCTATACTCACAAAATATATTTAAACACTTTTCAAGAAAAAATCAAAGCAGAACAACTTTGATATGTTAAGTCATTACATTTTGTTAAACTCTGCGATTTGAAAACACTAAATTAACCTATAAACCAGGAAAGCCAGTGCATGCCGCGAGACTGTCTGCCTGAGCTTTGCCCACCTCCCCCTTCCGCCACCTTGCCCAGGGCTAGCCTGGGGCAAGCTATTGTATGGAGGCAATTTACTGTGTTATTTTTTCAGATGTCCACTAAGTCCAGAAGTGTTTCAGGAGTACAAAATCCCGAAACAGTCTATGCAGCATCTACGCAGACACACCATGTAGAAGTGAGTCCAATGCTATAGTGTTCACATCCTGCAATTTATGTCTCTCCCAACTGTGTGTGGACATTCTGGACCCCACATCTTACCGTCTCATTACTTTTGACCTGTTGTTACCATTCCTGAAGCTGTATTCTCCTCTTGGTTTTGTTGACAGAAGAGAATCTTAACAATTAAATTCTGCATGCTCAGGGCTGTGCTTACCCCTCAGTTACACAAGGAACAGAGACATGTCAGGGACAGGCTGTCACTCAGAGACAGATGGACAGACACCTACACACATGCCTTGGGACAGCTGCTTGTTTCCCTTTCTGTTCTGGACTCTGCTACCTCCTGTCTCTTCAGTCTTATTTGGGACGTCACTAGATAACAAGAGAGGCATTCCTGAGTTAGCAGGTCACCCACAGGCAGACACTCTGCCGTGGGCCATGGAGCGTAAGTACTGCGCGGTAAGGAGAGCGCCCTCTGCTAAGCCATGGACCCTAGTGACAGCGACGTGCCTCGTCTTAGGAAGTTCAGAAATGGCTTAATCAAATAACATTAATGATAAATAGCACGTTATAAATATTTTGTACATGGCTTTTATAACTAAAATGTATTCTTTCTCAATGTGTTTCAGATATTTTAAAATGTGGTCTCTATGTACTTCTATCATGTGTGGATTATGACACTAAAGTAACGTACTATTGAATTCTCCGAAGAAACTGGAAATACCACATGAAGATGCTTAACACTTTTTATAGCTTTAGGAATTCTTTCTCTATACCCAGAATAACTTGAGGAGCAGAATTTTTAAAACTTAATACAATCTCCTATACATATCAAAAAGCCAAAAATTAAAAAGAATTGGCAGTATTCTGGCAATTAAGTAAGAAACATGAAACACCGTACTCATAATGGCTTACGAGATCAACTATATCGATAGAATTGCTTTTCCTGGAAAATCAGAGCTAGCTTTTAAATATGAACTACAAACAAATTTTGTTAAATAAGAACTTTTACATACGTTAGAGTTGTTTCCATTCTCGAGACTTGTTCAAGGTCTTCGTGAGGGTCCTTGAATCCAGTAAAGGTGTAATAAGACTTGTCCCATTTGATGGGCCTGTCAGGCATCCTTTTAGCCTCTTTGAGAGACTGGGAATGCACATTAGTATTCAGGCTTTGGACGTGTTCAACAGACAAGCTGCAGCAGTTGAGAATATGTAACACTGTGCTTAGCAGGTCTCTGGTATGCAAAGTAAATCTGACTGCTCGAAATCCTAGAGAACATAATTACCCCAATTAATACAGACGCTTATTTACTTTACTTTAAAAATAATTTTTCACGCACATATTGGCTGAAAAGCCTTCAAAACATTCCATTACCAATTTAGATTCAGCCCACGGGCAATCATCTGTAAGCAGAAATCGACTTCCCTCTCAAAATAGATACCATACAGCCTTTATCTTCATGAATTCCTCTAGCTGTCAGTTTGCTTTCCTACTTTGGTATCAAGCCTGCCCAGCCCAAGAAGGGGATCCACAGTATTTTCGCTGCTGCTCCCGAGTCTGGTCTACCTGCTGTAAAAGACGGAAATTCTCTCCTAGGAGCAAGTCCATAGAGAGTTTCCAGGAGGTGGGCGGGGAGCTGGCAGGAGGCTGCCAGGTAATTCTGATCTCAGTGGTGACAGGAACTCATCTTGAATTTTCTCTATGATTGTAAGAGACTGTCCTCATACGTTCCCACCCAACTAGCTACTAAGTCATCATTTTGAGAAGTGATTTAAAATCCCCTAATTGTTTAAAAATTAGTGCTTCATAATATGCCGATACTGGGTGCTGACTTGTTATCAGTAGGACTTTCACTGTTTAGTGTTTATTTCCCTCCCTTTAATGGGTTTTATAAGTGTAGTTGTAGCTGAGATTAACACTTCTCAACAATATTCCCATCAACTATCTTTCTTTCCAAAAGTGAAGAAATACAGATTGAAGGAGGTTAAAAGGGATGGAGTGGGGCTTACATACAAGCTAGCAACACGACAGGTTTATTCTCCACTATGACTATTTTCTTTCTTTTAAAAAAAAATTATATTTTGAAACGTACACAAGTATTAATAAGTACACCCTTTCCTAAGATTACAGGTGGGTCTGCTAATCCTAAGTGGCCTATCCAGCCTCCATTTTCTTATCTACAGTTCTGTATTCTTAAAACAAGGTCAGAACGGCCTGGTTACAGGAGCCCAACCCTACAAGGTGCCTTTCACATCAATTAAGAGCATAAAGCTAGACTACCCTGGGCAGGGTGTGCATCACTAGGTATGACCAGGAACACCCTGGGTGCTGTTGACTGATGTATAAGGACCCCAGAAGCGATCAGTGGAATGCCTTGTTGATAAGATTGGAATCCTGACTGGGGAGTCAGAGGCTTGAGCTAATAGCAAGCTATCAGCAGATGAGAAGTACAGTTCCACCCTTCCCCTGCTTCTTCTACTTCTCCCTCCTTTTCTACTTCCTCATATGACTAATGCCTTATGACTGGTTTATCAGTAAAAAGGCCAGGATCTTGCTCGTCAGCAGCATCCTGCATTATGTAGCCTGCTCCACAACTCCTGTCTCTATCAATGTGGGTTGCCCGACGCAACAGTTCCATATGTGTATACATATATAAATGAAGGTTTTATGTGAACAAGCACACAACCTCAAATTTCTACCAGACATAATCTCTTATGTAACACATAGTATGCTTTTAGACATATACTATCTGATATGGTAATTAAATGAAAGTCAGTAAAATTTGGTCCTTGGTCATACCATACTAGCCATATATAAATGCTCAATAGCCACATGGGGTTAGTGCCTGTGGTATTAGTGCAGGTGTGTGACATCTGCGTCATCACAGAAAGTGTTCGTGGATAGTGCTGCTCTAGACCTTTCCTGTGTGCCTACGTGTGTACATTATATATATGTTTACACACAGCCACAGTTTGAATGGTCTCTTTTTAATGTACAAATGGTATCATTCTGGATATCTTACTATGAACATCAGATTCCATGAACACATTTAACATGAAGTTTGCATGGGATGCACTAGAAGTAATAAAACGTACCGGAAGTACTAAAGTGTTCCTGGCCATCAGAGGAATTCTGGTCTGTTACTCTTACATAAAATGTAAGCTGAGTTGGTTTCAAAGACTTGAAGCCTGGCTTCTGAAGGCTTTCTAAGTAGGCACTTAATCTCTTAAGAGAATTCTCATTGATTTCCTAGGAAAAAAATTAAAAACAGAAACAACAGAAATTTTATCCTGACTTTTTAAGTATATTATTGGGGATATTCAATAACTCAACATTAAAAAATGTTGGGGTAGCAGAGCTCTTGAGAAAAAGATAAAATTGGATTCACATTCTACAACATGTAACAGAATGAACTCCATATGGATGAAATAAAGAACACATGGCTAACTTCTTTTATAGCTTAGGTGGAAGAAGGTTAATTATGACAAATATACCAAAGTAATAAAAGATTGATAAGTCCAATTACATAAAAAAATTTCAAAACTAAAAGCACACATATAAAACCACACACACACACAAGCAGTCTATAGACAGCCAACCGGGAGAAAGTTTTTGCAAATTATTTCATAGAAGAGGGCTAATTTCTCTCAAAGAAATGGCTCTTAAAATGCCCATCCAGAAGAGATTGGTTGATTTATGGTACATCCTTGCAAGGGAGTACTATACAACTAGAACATATTGTTAAGTTTTTTTTTTGAAAAAAGTCCTTTAGTGAAAGAACAGCTCCACAAAATGGCACATATAATAACTGTGCTTCTTATCACAGTAAAGCAATGACACACAGTGTTACCTGAAATAGGCACAGCTTATTTTTGTCTGTTTATTATAAGATGCTGTTTTTAGCCACAATACATACAAATAGCTGAGATACATTTTCTGTGAGTGTAAAACAAAATCATTATTTTTTGATATGTGTTTCTATTTTTGCCAAAAAGGACAGGCCTAGCCACCCGCGGAATAATAAACATGGTTATTAAAAGGAAATTAGTAGAAGTGGGATAGAGGATGTAAGGATGGGAGTGAGACTTCTGAGTAAACTTTGTTTTTAATTTTGATTTTAGATACTTACTCATGTTTTTGCATATTCTGAAACTGAATTAAAGTGGAGAGAGTAAATGCAACTCCGGGGTTCACTTTGAGATCCTGGCCTGATGCCATCACTGGATGGAACTTAATTCCCTTCAGAAAAGCAGCAAGCATGTCCCGTAGAGTGGGAGAAGACTGAACTGAATATGAGGGGACAAGAGTGAACCTCCTTCATGGAGTCACATTTTAGTGAGAGGAGAAACAGAAGCACATGCTAACTGCCATTGTGGGGAGTGGGCCAGCTACACCCTACTGAGGGAACTCCACTAGGGCCAGCGAAGTCTTCCTGGACCCTCCTTCAAACAAGGACTAATGATACTAGAGGCCTTACCTTTTCTTTCCAACCCTCAATTTTATTCTGAAAACTGGGACCACAAACACGATTATGAATCTCTAAAGAGTTTACATGAGCTTCATTGTGAGCATAAACAATACCACCTGTCATCAAAAATAGTAGTTACACTTTCTACTTTCAGTATCTATACTTCACATTAGTTCAAAGCACTGATTATATCATCACAAAAGAGGAAATGTTATAGAATACTCTATTGTATAGTATGAAAGATAAACTAAGCAGAAAAGCAGATTAAAAGTCAAAAAAACTTACCCTTTCCTTGGGGTGCTGTCCAAAGAAATCTGGATGTACCGCAAAATAGAACGGTCTCAGAGCATTGACAGCTTCAGCTCCTGATAAAGCTCTTGAGGAGGGAAACCAGTGTGGAAATATCTTCTCTAGACATAACCTTTTAAAAAAGTGGCTTTATTACTCATTGGGGCACTTACATACATACTAATCCCCACTGCCTAAAGTGATAGTCACATTGAGATTACTATGTATGAACAAAACAGTAGAAATAAGGAAGGAAACAAAATGCCCAACGGTGGTTTCCTGAAATTTATAGTTTGAACAATCACTGAGTGCTTATGGTTCCTAAAAACAATGGATATGAATATTCTGATGCAAAATGACAAGATATTAGGTAATAATGGAAAAGTACCCCCTTAAAAGTCTACTTTGAAATTTTAACTGACTTTACTACAAATGATGAATACTTCTTCTCTGAAAAGAACATGATATAGGAAATTATCTCAATATCCAGTAGTATAGCCATTTTTTATAGTGAAAAATATTTTGAGAATTATGTTTTAAATTGAGTAAATATTCAGCACATGAAAATCTGGATCTATAAAATAATGTCAGGGAAGGATTCAATTGTGGAAAAAGAACCACTAGCCCCGGGGCCAACCAGCTTTTCCTGCTACAGTCATCCAGTGAGTATTTTAGGCTCTGCGGGCCATGCGATCTGTGGTGTAGCGACCTGGCCCTGCTGCAGTGGGGGCAAGCACCCATGGGTGTGAGGCAGAAGTAGCAGCCTCACCTGCCCCGAAACTGTTCATGCACAGCGAGGTGGTGGGCCCATGTCACCCATTGACCATGGTACTGACCCTGCAATAGCAGGTTTCTTTACATTGTAAACATCTCAAGCACATGGGAAGTACAATTGACATCTCATTCTGGCAGGCCATTCTGCGAGAAGCCAGGAATTGATCAAACTATGGATTTTTCTAAAAATGGTTTCCTGCCAGCAATATTGCTTTGAATTTCAATCAAATATGGAGCAATTCCCTGCCCTTAAGAGGAAGCCACAGGCTGTAGTAACAAGTCACGAATGCCACCACTGGTGTCTTTTCTGTACTTAAAGCCACTTGATTTCTAATCAACAGCAAAGAATTTGCAGGCCATTGCTCTATAGCAGCGTTTCCAGAAATCACTGAGCCATGAAATCAATCTACTGGGCTGTGAGTCATATTAAGAACAAAAACAAAACACAGAACAGAAAATATCACTGGATACCATGTGTGGCAAGGGTAATGATGGTTATGAAACTTTTTATGGGACATGATTAAAATAGTTTGCTGAAGTCTGGGAGCAACAAGCTGCAAGGGCAGGGGTGACTCGGACGCAGGGGCCCTGCACTGCCCTTTGGGGGCGCGGAAAGGCTGCCACTGCAGGGTGTTGCCACAGCCAGAAGCGCTGCCTGAGACTCCCCAGTATCCCAGTTTGTCTCCATCTCTTTCTCTCTTTTCTTTCCCACTTTAGGAAAAAAAAGGGAATTTGAGTCATGAATTCAGAGAAAGTCTCCCTTTGATCACCCCTGTAATATACTCAGCTGGTGGAAAGTCTGTTTCCTCTTAACAGTGACTGCTGAAAATAGTCACATATAGAACAGCTATGTATGTATGTATGTATGTATTTATACATACATAAATGTATTCATTTATACACACATGTATATACACACATGTATTTATACACACACACACGCGTACATACATACATTTGTACGTACAGAACTGAGAGGATTCACCAGAGACAGAGTGAGGTACAGAATAGGTGGATCTACTGAAATACACTGCTGAGGGGAGCAGCAGGCAAGACAGGAGAGATCTGCTGTGCCATGTGGGTCACCTCTGGGGCTGGGGATTGAACTTGCACTGAAGCGGCTGCAGCTAGCTTGCAGTGCTGCGGCCTAACCTATTGAGCCACCAGGGAGGGCCCAGAATAGTTATTTAAAGGCAGTAACTTGCTACATTTGTTTTAGAAACCTATACTTGACATATTATTTTTACCTAACAGGTCAAATTGTATCTTGGGCCAAATGAATATTTTCCTTTTTGATGTGGCTACCAAGAAGCCAGAATTAAACTTAATGTCTGAGTAACTGTTTAGTTAGTTATTCACACAATGGTCCCCTTTCTCTACAGAGCTTCTGATCTTATATGACTATCAGTATGCCAGTTAAATTTATATTACTGGACTCCTTCAATCATTTTTTCAAGTAGACGGGTTTTAGATTATACATACTCAAATGGAAACTATAATAGTCAAATGATCTTACTATGTAATTCAAATATAAAGTGGTTTTCCATAGGATAGCAATGGACTTAAAGATTACATAAGAATCGTGCTGAGAACAAACTTGACAATTTTCTTCTTAAAAATTTCACACTGAAAAGGCACAAAATGAAGTAAAAATAAACTATTAAATTAAAAAAAATTCACACTGGATTATTTTGAAAGACAGTATTCTTTTCACCATCTGTGAATGGGCTGTTGGAGGACCTGGATGCTCGTATAAATTTTCTTTTTTGTTTCTTTCCCTATATTGTAACCTTAGAATAAAAAAAACAACAATAGTTTGAAATCAACCAAATGCAAAACATATTTCCCCCATATTAATTACAGAGTGGGCCATGAAGCTTACCTCCTCACAGGTCTCAGGTGGCAAAACATTTCTCAATAAAAATATGTCAACTTCTAGGCATCCTTAATTGCTTAAAAAATCAAACAGATAACCAGTAATGAACAAGTGGAATGTAAAATTAAAACACAGTATCATTTACATTAATACTCCCCCAAATGAAATATGTATAAATCTAATAAAATTATGTAAGATCTATATGAGGGAAGACTACAAAACTTTGATGAAAGAAATTAAAAGAGAATTAGAGAAATATTCCATGCTTATGAATAGGAAAACTCAAGACTGTCAAGATACTGATTCTCTCCAACTTGATGTATAAATTTAATGTAATTCCAATTCAAATCGAGGAAATTATTTTGTAGGTATGTCACATACAAAGTTTATATGAAGAAGCTAAAACTCAGAATAGACAATTCAACACTGAACAAAGGACAGACTACTTAAAGACTTACTATATAGTTTATGGTAATTAAGATGGAGCATAGGGGTGAAACAAAAGACAAATCAAATGTAACAAAAACAGACCTACATAGACCTACATAAATACAGTCAACTGATCTCTGACAAAGAAGCAACGGGCAACACAGTGCAACAAAGATATAAATGGTGCTGGGACAAAGGAAAAATTAAGCTAGACACAGACTTAACATCCTTCACAAAAATTAATTCAAGTGGACCACAGACCTAAATGTAAAATATAAACAACTAGAAGATAACATCAGAGAAAACCTAGATGACCTATGCTGATTGCTTTTTAGCTAAAGTACCAAAGATTCAAGCCATTAAGGAACTGATAAATAGAACTTCATTACAAAAACAAAACAAAGCAAAACAAAACAAAAACAAACTTGTGCACTGTAAGAGAATGAGAAGATAAGTCACAGTCTTAGAGAAATTGCTTGCAAAAGATATACCTATTTGATAAAGGACTGTTGTCTCAAATATACAAAGAATCTTTAAGAGTCAACAATAAGAAAATGAACAATACAATTAAAAAATGTTTCAAAGATCTTAATAGATACCTCATGAAAGAAGATAAACAGATGACAAGTGAACACACAAAAAAAATCCTAATTGCCAAAATCTGGAAGCAACCATGATATCCTTTAGTGATTTTCAAAGAAAAAGCATAAAGAACATTGTGCAGAGAACTAAGAAGCATGTTTTAGAAATACTTGTCAAAAATATTTTAAGTTAAAGGTTTCTCCCTTAAAATACTGGCTTTAGTTATCCAGAAAGATTACTCATTCATTGCTATTTTGTAATTACACAATAGAGCTAAACAACTTTGAGGAATGACTAATAAGGGACATCAGTATTTGAAACTGTGACAATAAATTCTCCCACTGAAAATAAAATGTTCTTGTGGGGCAGGAGGGATAGTTTTCTCCTCTGTCTCTTGGTTCTTCTTGGGCTGACTGAATAAACAAATTAACAGCAGACAGATTAACAGGAGAAAAAGTTAATTAATTTTGTACGCACAGGGAGCCCCCCTAGACATGAGAGGCTGAGGACGTGCAGCAAAGTGAGATGGCATCCATCCTGGGCTAAGAAAGGAAGGGTGGCAACTCAAACCATCAAGGCAGATGTCTGGTAATTAGATGTTTGTTCTGACAGATATCTTACTCAAATGGAAAGGTTATTTCTGGTAGTATCCCTAATTCTGGGTAAGACCCTCAATCCCATTTTTCTAGGTAGTTCAGGGAGCGGTAAAACTTTCTCTTGAGCTGGCCCGGATGGTTTGAGTTCCGCTCTACATGAACCATCCACCAAAGGGAGTAGCTCTTAGGGAGGCCTGTCTTGAGCCCCTTCATTTCCCAGTATATGTATAATTAAATCATGCTTTCTAGATCTATAAAACAAAACTTAAAAAAATAAAAGGTTTATATAGGTTAAGAGTTAGTTGTTTTCTGGCAGCTTTTTTTGGTGAGGAGGCTATTCCCTAAAAAGATTCATAGTCAGTGGAGTAAGAATGAGCCCAGCTGTGTACGAGGCCACCAGGAGGCGAGCGGGCAGCTGAACATGGCCATTCTGAATTGAGATGTTTCAAAAGTGCAGTACTCATTGGATGCTAAAGATTTAGTACAAAGAAAGAATGTAAAGTATATCATTAATACTTTTAATGGTGATTAGATATTGAAATGAGAATTCATTAAAATTAAGCTCACTTGTTTCTTTTTGCTTTTGATTTTATTCTTAAAGGATTTTTAAAAAAAAATTTATAGATATGGAACAGGAGCACAGGCCAGAGGTGTGGGAGGTGAGACAATGGGGAGCAGAACAGGCAGATCCACTGAAATACACTGTTGAGGGGAGCAGTGTATTCTTGTACACTGGGTGGGTCAGGAGAGGTCTGCCATGTCATATGGGTCACCCCGCCTAGCTAGGGATGGAACTCATGCTGCAGACGCTTCAATAGCTTCATAGTGCTGTGCTTTAACCCACTGTGCCACCACAGAGGGCCCTCTTTTTGCTTTTTAAAAGTAAAACCCAACTTGGCTTTGTCTTTTACAATTTACTACTAGAGTAAAATTACACCTGTGGCTTACATTTTATTTCTAGCAGACTCTGTTGATCCTATTCAATACCTGGCAAAGGTGCTTTAAATTAACATGACATGGTCAGAGAAGGCAGTCGCCACTGTGGTCGGCTGGTGGGGGAGATGGGTCCTGAGAGCAGTATTCAAATCTGGACTTCAGCACTGACAAGCTGTGTCAGCAAGGTCAAGTCCTCTACTTCCCCAAATTGTTTCCTCATCTACTAAATACAGATGGTTGAAGTACAGTCTATTCCACAAAAAACAAAAGGTCCCTTTGATGTGAAGTTGCTTATGTGTGCTAGGTAAATATAGGAAATGCTCGTACAGCATATGCATTTCTTCCCCCCCCTGCCCACCATGATAATGGTTTGAAGTCATCTGAGGGGGGCTATCTGCAGTTAGAAAGTCTGGAGAGACGGTGAGGATAGACTTGAAAATCCCCAGCCGTTGTCCCTTTGGCTCAAGAAGCACAGGTTAATGGCTTCAGATATGCCAGCATTTCCCACCACATCAGGCAATCTAGGAAGCGGATGAATAAAGTAGACATTTCCACCTGTCATCTTGTTTAGAGTGATGAGCATTTCCCTACCACCTCCAAACCCCATATTCCAGTGTATTTTCTCAAAGAATATCAGAACTTCAGGAATGTATATGCCACGACAGCATCTACACCTGCATAACTGCTCCTTTTAGTTAGAAATTTATTTTTTTTCATTAACTGAGAGAACAGTTTGAGCTGGCATGATGCTATAGACTACTAGATGGGAATTTGGTCAGATTTATCAGTAATGTAAAAAAAAAGTCTATTTAATGAATACTTTACTGAATTTTATCTTTATTTTTTAAAAAGGAGAAACTGCATTCTAATCCTAGAAATACAGACTAATGAATTTAATACAAATGAAATAACAAGCTTATGTTATCATATGTTCACCAAGCTAAAGATATGTGGACTATGTATTTAAGGAAAAGTATTGGTTGATACATCTAACACCATTCTGGAAATATTCATTAAAGACCTTCTAAAAGGTGGGGTGTCATCTAGAACATTTAGATTATTTTTTAGTTCTCTGAATATGGAACCTCACCATGGACTTTTATACATTTCTAGAAGTACAATATACATGAAAGTAGACACTATCTTACATGATTTTTGTTAATTTTAAAATAATGTACATAAAGGGGTAGCAATATCTGGCACATAGAAAATTTATAAAAGGGGCAACAATTATTATCATATAATTCAGGTTGTATAAAAACTGTAGAATTCTTCCCCCTAATATGCACATATATAGCTAGAACATGCTGTAAACACAACATTGCATGCTGAATTGGAAAACAGAATGATAGAAATAAAGGATCTGAAAGTTCTAAAAAAACAGAACTTTTTTTAGTTCTAGACAAGTCAAACGTACAAATAAATGACTTCATTTCACAAACGTCAGGGAAAATACAGAATTTATCTGAACAAGTAAGTGTGGGTGTTTATTTTCATTATTCAAAGACAAAAGAAAGTTTGCAGTTGCTTAGTAATAAAAACACAAATTTTCATTCACTCTTCAAAAAAAGCACAGGTACGTTACAAAGCAACTAAAAAGATCACACTGTTTTATGAGATTAGGGAGGCACTCTGAGTTCTTCACCCAATTCAGCAGGCATTCTCCAAGCACCTAACAAGTCGGGCTATACACGGTTCCACTTCTCCAAAAACCTACAATCTGGAGGAGAGAGAAGTGGGAAACAGACGCAAGTAGATAGTAATAAAACAATACAGCAAGTGAAATGACAGAGCCGTGCAGAGTGCTATGGGAAATCCCCAGCTGGCACACCTGGACTTTCGGAAGGTCTTTTCTCAGGTAACTGTGACCTCTCAGGAGAGGGTGGTAAGGAGGGGAGGGCACAGTTCACTCACAAACCTCTGTAAACGGTTGCTGTAATCCACTAACAGTGATATTAGCTTCTAATTCGTAAAATTTTGATTTTAATTTTGTGTAGTTTCAAGTCAAATTTAGTAGAAAGAGATCGAAAACGATGGGAAGGTGTTCATTTGTTGTACTTAAATTACTCTGCTATAGAAACTAATCGTGATCACCAAACAGATTGGTCCTAGGATGATCTTTGACCATTTGGCACAATTTATATTTGAAAGTAACTTAAAAAAGTTAATACCCTGACTGATTTATACTGCCTTACTTAGTAACTCTTGAAGGTTTAAGAAAGCAATTTGTTACATCAAGGAGAGAGAAAATCAGTTAACTTTTCAATTCTTTTCAGTTGAAAACATCTTAAGAGACCAGGAAAGAGTTAAAAAAAAAAAAAGCAGGGATAACTTCTTAGATAAATTAATGAATTGTAGCAATAGCAGAATATGTAGCTTCCTCTTCCTAAATCCTCCGCTGTGAGGTTTGAGTCGTAACAATCTCACATGGTTAAGTCAAAACCTTCGCAGAAATATAGTCGGAAACAACAAAACCTAAGTCGTTTTTCGGCTTCTCATTTCAAAACAAGTTTAAACCGATGCGAAATGGCATTGCCGCACTTGAAAAGTTAGCACCGAGAGCTCGGGTGACTACAGGTGGCCGGCCCCGACCCCCCTTTCTGCCCCGAGCAGCCCAGCGGCACACATGGAGCCCCTCCCTCCCACTCCTTACAGTTCCGGCTAGGGTCCGCCGCGAGGGGCTTCTGCGACCGGGTCCGGGAGGGGGGAAGGGGAGGGATGAGCGTTCCTCCCGCAGGGCTGTGCGGGGGCGCATGCGCACTGGGGGGCCCGTCAGGCCTACGAGCGCGCGCCCCCCGCCTGTCCGCGCCCGCAGGACGCCAGGCTCTGACTGGCTCCTACCCGCAGGGCTCTCCGAGCCTCCGCCCCTGAAATCCCAGCGGGGCGCGCACAGCTCCGGCCTCCATCCGACGCCTGCCCCAGCGGGTGGCCCGAGGTGAGTCCGAGCACCCGCACGAGGCCGCAGACCACGCTGTCATTGGCTGAGGCGTGCCAGGCCTTCCTCTCCCGAGCGCCTGCGCGCCCCTGACGCGGGGGGAAACCCGGGGCCGCTGCCGGCTCCGTCGTGACGTCAGCGCCCAGGTGACCGCCCGCCCTCCCGCAGCTTTGGGGTGCCCACCCCGCGTCTTACCGCCAGGCTCGGTTGGGGCTCCGCGCGCCCCGCCGAAAGCTTTAGGGGGCGCAAATGAGCATTCGGAGATAAGGACTAGGCGGGGAGTCGGAAGGTGGTGGGGCGGCTGGTGGCCAGCCTGGCCTGAGGGTCCGTGGAAGGGCAAGGAGCGTAGGGTGACCGCGCACGAACCAGGGTCTGTAGCTGGGTGGGGTGAAGGGCGCGCATGCGCGCAGTCTCGTTCACCGCCACCTTACCCCCCCTTAACATTTATACTCTACCCCCCCACCCCCCGTTATTTAACCAAGGGCAGCCAAAGAAGGGGACGGGGCTGGCCCGGAGTTTAGTCCTCGTGCTTTATTTTAGGACGCTTCTCCAGTTCCTAAAGGTCCTACTGAAGTAGCTGCCCTTTGGCGTTCCTTATTTTATCTGGTTTGCATTCTTTTGAATTTGACGCCTTCGATATTCGTTTTCAAAACTAAAGCTTTCTTCACCATTGGCTTGGGGTTTATACTATTAGCTTTATTTCATTCCTTTGACTTTGATGAACCCCCAGAAATTGGCACAGATGAAATCCGGCACCGCTGGCTGAAGCCTCACTTTATGGGCTCTTACTACAGCCTGGTCACTTGTGATCCATTCCGTCTAGTCCCATTTTCCCAAAAAGCTGAATATCTCTCACATCTTCGTTATCTCCCTTGCATCCCTCTACCAGCATCTAAATGGTTTCTTAATTCTAATTCCTTTGGGCTTCAGTTATGACGTACAGAAAGACTACTATATATATAATTGCTCATTTACCATTCCCCATTTGTTCTCAAAGGTACCCCCAAGTGATGGCAGTAATCTCTAGACCCAGTTTATCTTCAAGTTAGCGCTTAAGTGGTGACATGTTATGGTTACCCAGCTTGTTTATACCAAAGAACTGGGTATCTTTTTTCAAGACTCCACCCGCCTCACTTCTCGTAGCTCGTCTATGCCACCTTTCATCATAGTAAGGCGTTTTGCTAAGTGCTAGAATTTAACTTTGTCTTGTGAGGTTACAGATTTATTCCATATTATATTGCCGTATGTGTTTGGGAACTCCTTTAAGAGTTACTGCCAGCCTCCCCTATGCATAACCTGTTCTTATTACTCAGTTTATGAAGACTTTAAGTGATTTAAAATTATGATTTGAAACACCAAATTTTAAAAGTATCAATTTAAGCGTTGAGGGTGAACATCTTGGAGAATTATTTGACCCAGATTCTGAAGATAAAACTTCAGAAAAGGAGCTATAACTTCCTAAGGTGGCTTAAAAGGAACAATCCTTTCTTTGGATATACAAGTTCTACTATGTTGATTTAAAATACTGTTTCAGTTATATCTAATGTAACAAATTAAAATTTTGACAATACATATACTATTCTAAAATATACTAAAGAATCATATTTCGAGGGTAATATTTTTTGGTTAGCAAGATACTCTAAAATTTTAGTGTTTGGGAAATTTTACAATATTTTACTACTGTAGATTGCAGATGTAGCTAGGTATAGAGACTGAACTGAGTAGTCACTAAATCTTTTTCATAGCCTTGAAGGAATTCCTGAAAACTTCAGTTAACATGCTTGCATTTTTCCCTTTAAGTGTCTCTCCTACTAAATGCTGCATAATATCCAGCTTATGACTTTTCATTGTTTGGATTTAAATTTTAAAATAAATAGGGACTTATCCTAACTTACAGTAACTTAAACAGAAGTCAAAGACTAATTTGAAAAATCACTTTTCAGTGCTTGTAAACATTTTCAGTGTTTGAAAATTGCTGAAAATCAATAAGGGGCAAAAGCTGAACATAGTGAGAACTGTTTTTATTACCTTTTATTTTCAACAATGATTACTTGAACTTAAAAAAAAAAAAAGTCTTTATTAGGCTAATGGTTACTGAAAAGCCAAACCTTTCCAGCCCATTTCATATTCTCTTTCAACCATTTAAGGGCAGAACAATGTTCCAAACTATAAACCTGTTCCTTATTAACATTGACAGTCATGTGCTTAATGAAAAGCTTTGGATCCGATATCCGAGCAGCCATAATTAATCTTTCCACGGCAGCTTGATAATCATCCTTGCTCCGAGATTTGCTTTCTTCACATCTATAAAGTGAACACCTCACAAAGTCAGAAAATCTAAAAAAAAGCTATTTAGTTGCTTCAAATAAGTCATTTACATTTATTGGTACTACGCTATGTGTCTTTTGATTATATTCTTTAAAGTGTCTTTCCAACTTTTTTGACCATGACACATAGTAAGACATTGTACATTGAGATCCAGAACATACCTTCATATGGAAACTGAAGTTTCACGGCACAAGACTTACCTAGATAACGTGCTCTACTTTCGTTAGCTTTTTTTAAAAAATAATGTGGCTGTAATTCTCTAAATTGATTACTCCAAACAAATGGGTTACACCTGGTAAGGTGAAAAACACTGAATAGAACATAGCTAATAACCTGGACCACTGTATTTTCAAAGTCAATTAATACATGATTATAATGCATGGAAGAATCCTGAATGTAAATAATGTCACTAACAGTCATGTTTTACCTTGGTAATGAATATTTTTAAATTATAATCAATTACTTAATATCTAGCTAATATTTGGTAACAGAAATTGTAGCAACATGCCTTTACTGTATTTCCATATTACTTCAATAAATGCTAAAATCTGCTCCTCTAGTAATTTTTCTGACAGTCTTGAAATTTCATAGACTTACTACTGTATGACCATTTTCCTGTGGGACAGGAAAAGTATTTAAGAAAGAGGTGTGGTTATTATATTAGGCATCACTTTTTCTTTGTGTTCACTCTGTCCTCCTCTTGGCACTAATGGTCTCAGCAGCAAGGTCTCAGCACTGTATCTGCATTAATACACAGTGTGCTCTACAGAATGGTGGGAACCACCTGGAACAGGAACCGGTGCTCACCCAGCAGAAAAGCAGGCCAGGTCTTCAGTACACTCTGGCCTAGGAATTGGTGCCTGGAATCTGTGAGACTGGGCATATACCAACTTTTGTGCAGTTTCTGAAAGTTTAAAGAGGAATGAAGTTCTCTTTCTCACAGAGGTTAATGTAACAAGACCAAACTCCATAACAGTAGAGAAACTAATATTGGCTTGGATGAAATTAAAGATCTATGTATATCACTAGCTATGTCTTAGGGTCACAGATAACCCCCCAAATTCAACAACAGATTAAGAAGATGCATGTATGTGAGGGGATGAAAAAGCTACAAAGAAACCAAACCCTCATTAGGATGACTGTAAACCCAAATGCCTCATGCCACTGCAGTATACAGTGGTAAGTAAGGAAGTACTCAATATAGAGCTATTTGTAGAAGAAAGTGAATTTCGGTGGGCTTAAAATAAAAGGTGGACCTAAAAGAAATTATTTCATAACTTTCTTCTTGTAGGCCAGATTAGTGACTTATCACAAACAGAATAAAGCAGAAATGACAGTGTATAAATTTGGACAATGGGTTGTTAGATGATAATTCTTTGAGTCTGTTGCATTTCTGAAGCTTTTTTGAGTGCAGATACTAATTCCTTGTTCCAGATTTGGCGGATGTTTACATAGTGAAAATCCTTGAAAGACAAAGATATTTTCTCCTTCTAGAGCAAAGGACAGTTTGCTTACAGCCTTACAAGATGGAGTTAATGCTTTCCTGCAGAACAAGGGGCCAGATTACTTACTACTACTGTAAAGATTTGGGTTTACTAAGGTCAAGCTTCTCCTATAGAACCCACTGCATACTGAGGCATCCATCTGGGCCTAGTTTGTGGCACTTGGGAGTGAGAGAAAAAGATACAAGTATGTAGATAATCATGCGGCTTGCAACATCAGTATTAAACTCTTCTGCTCCAACCTGGGTTTTATGCTATGATCCATAAACTGGCAGGCTGACTTGTAGCCTGCAAATAGGGTATAATACAAAACCTTCATTGTTTTTGATATAAGGCATAAAAGGCATAGTAGCTTTCCTTTTTCTTTTTCTCTTCTGGATTGTTCACCTTGTCAAAAGTGAGCTGTTATGTCATAAAGACACTTAGGGAACCTATGGAGGATACAACAGGCATGAAAGAGCCACCTAGGATGTGGATCTTCCATCCTTTGTCAGACCACAGGAGACTGCAGCTGCTGACCACATCCTGATTCCAATTACATGAGAGACTGAGTCAGAACAATCCTAAGTTACTCCAAAATTCCTGACTCACTGAAATGGAAGAAATATTTGCTGTTTTAAATCACTAAGGTTTGAGTTAATTTATGCACAGTAAAAAACACCCCACAGAATATTTAGCCTGAGGATTTGGTTTGTAGCAGCACCAGTAAACTGAAGCAAAATTCTTGTCAGGAAGCTCTAAAAAAGGATTTTCTTAAGATTCTGATATCACAAGTTTCCTGGAGAAGGCTCACAAGAAATGGGAGTGGTATATGCGTAAATTATGGCACTTTCAACATTATTTGAAGGAATGCCACTCTGATCCAACAGCCATGTTATAAAGTTTATGCATTTATGCCATCATTTTAAAATACAGAAATTAGCCTAATAGCTTTATTTTCAGTAGGATTTTTGACTGAACCAAATAAACCATTTCCTTTTCAGACTATTTTGTGCTGTACAAAAAGTTACTTTTAGGTATCTAACTGAAAATTATTAGTACAAGATAAAGATTGAGACCTAAAGAGGACCCATCCCTGAACATCTAACATCTCTGAAGATGTTAAAGAGTTTATTGAATGCTACTAACTTGTTTAGTTTTAACTCTCAGGTCAAATCCTGTTACCAAAGCGTATATTTATATACATACACATACACAAGTATATAAATATATATGCATACAATTTATAGGCTCGTAGACTTGTGTGTGTGTATATATACATATGTATATTAAAACATTCACATCCTAGGACAGGTGTGGGTAGACAAGATCTGCTTTCAGGATGCAGTTAGAAGTTATATCAACTAACCTTTTCAAAACTATCTGCAGCATCTGTGTAGAATTTCCAGGACTCTGAATACTACTAGCATTAGATACCAGGAAGATTTCAATAGCTAAAAGCATTTCAATCTCAGATAAATAAGAAGGAATCAGAAGAAGTTTTCGGTATAAATTTCCCTCCAATGGTGGGTAGCAACCCAATGAAAGAGCACCTGAAAATTAAATAATAAATCAAACTTTACTAAAATCTGAATAGGTGAAAATCTAGACTTCCAAACTACCCATAGGTGGTATTTACTTACATTACAGAGTAATTGATCACACTGGCAGATTTATTACAAAAATTATGTGGTAGTGTGCTTATCCCAGTACATTTTGTAAAAGGCTTTTGAAGCATTAAATATGAAGTGAAATATAGAAGAAAAACTCTAACAAATAACTTTTGAGTTTCATCATGGTAACTGCTTCTTTATTTGAATCTGTAACATTATTTCAGCACAACAGGGCTTCAGAATAAAAAACTGGGAATAATTACTTTGGTTTTAATGGCACCTGGTCTAACAGTAAATACATATAATTATTACCTATTTTGAATTATGAATCCAAAATATAGGAAATAGAATTTAAAATCTGAAGATCTGACTTTCTCTCCTAGTTACAGTATTTTCGAATTTGTTATTTATATGTGTTTGTATATTTACTTTCCTACTCTGTATCTGGCACTGACGTAAGCACCAGATATAAAAATGAATAAAAAACACATCCACCTTGTAGATGTTAAGCATGTTGTAATACTCAGCAATTTCTGTCCTACAAATTTAACTTCCCAAGAAAAGAGATTTAACTTTTAAACTATTTAGGTCTTTATTACAAGTGATATGTAGGGAAATCACCTTAAGTGCCAGGGCACTCAAATTATAAACAACATTGTTATATTTCATTGAAACCAACTTAAATCTGTATAAAAAACTTTAAAATGTTTTGCTAAGTTTCTTCAAGAAATCTTTCTAATGTGAATAAGGATGTGTAGTTCTGAGGACCCACTATGAGCCAGGTACATAAATTAGATAAATTTGTATTAGACAAAACACAAGTTTTATCTAATTTTAACAGGGCAATTTATCACCTTTGATACTAGGTACACTGATTCCATATTACAGTTGGCCTTTGATTGCAGATTTTGGATTTCTAACTAGTAGGTCATCTACTTTCCTGGTCATTGCCAGCACTAGCAAATTGACTCAATCATTTTCCTAGTTATTGGTAGGTCTAACTTATACTCCAGCTTTAATTTATGACAATGTGAAAGCAAAAAAAAAAAAATTGACTGTAAGTTTACTGACATTGCTTTTTTCCTCTAAAATCAAACATGAAAAGAAGAACATTCCCTTTGGGTTTTGGGAAGGCAAGGAATGGAGACAGTCTAATCACATCCCTTCTTCCTGACTTGTTTAGTTTGAGAGGAGTATTTTTAGGACTAGGGAGAAGGAAGTGCACCAGGAAGGTAACATTGCTGTCCCCGGATAATTTCTTTCTGACAAATTTGGGAACAAAACCAAAGCCAAACCAACGGGAAAGTGAAAGACAGCTCAATGGAGGAAAAACTCCTGAAATTCATGTATTTAATATGCGATTTCTCCCCAGTGTGTTTATATACATTGTGTGTCATACAGATACAGTCATGTGACTTAAGATAGGAGTATGTTTTGAGAAGTGCATCATTAGGCTATTTTGTCACTGTGTGAAGATCACAAAATGTAACTACACAAACCCAGATGGTGTAGCCTACTACTGGGACCACCATCATATGTGTGCTTCTTCATTATTGAAACTGTGTTAAGCAACACATGACTGTATGTATCTGTCTGCCTCCTACATGCACTCCTACAACTCGGGGGAAAAAAAAAACACCCCAATTTAAAAAAGTGCAAAGAATACAAAGGGCAAAGGATTTAATAAATGTTTCTCCACAGAAGATCCACAACTCGCCAATAAGCTTAAAAAGATGTTCAACAACATTAGTTGTAAGGAACATGCAAATCTAAACCAGGAGAAACACTGAGATATCACTTTACATCCACAAGGAAGGCAAAATCGAAAAACACATTAACAAGTGCTGCTAAGGATGTGAAGAAATTAGAAATCCCAAACATGGCTGGATATAAAATGGAGCAGCTGCTTTGAAACACTCAGATGGTTCTTCAAAATGCTGAACAAAGATTTACTGTAAGTCAGCAGTTCTACTACCAAGATAAATAGAAATATATGTATTCACAAAAACTAATATATGAGTATCTACATTAGTGTTATTAGTGGCCCCAAAGCAGAAATAACTCAAAATCTAAATGATGGGTAAACAAATTCCACATAATGGAATATTAGTCAGTAGTAAAAAGGAATGCATTATTGATATATGCTACAGCTTGACTGAACTTGAAAACATTATACTAAGTGTAAAAAGTCAGTTATAAAAAACTACATGCTGAATAATTCCATTGATGTGAAAAACCCAAAATAGGCAAACCCATAGTAACAGATGGGGTTGGGTTGGGTGGGAGACATCCAGGAAATGGGGAATGAATGCTAATGTATTTAGGGTTTCTTTTTCTGGAGGTTCCAAAATTGGATTGTGGTGTGGTTGTGCAACTGTGACTTATGTATATAATTGAAAGGGTAAACTTTATATGTTCAGAGTATCTCAATAAAGCTGTAAAATGACACCATAGTCATTTATCTTGAAAAATTAGCCATAAGCCCAGAATCCTTTCTATTATACTAAATGTAAAGATAATCTACTAAAGGATTTTTCTAGCCCATCCAAGCCGTGTGTAAAGATAACTTTAAAGGAGAGTTCCAATGATATCTTGAAAGTCAACAATGCCAGGAAATAAGATGTTTTGAAGTATGTTTAGGTTAAGAGGGAAAGAGCTTATAAGAAAAGTACTAGGCATAAGTTGCTTAATACACTGCTAAAAAAATCTTTAAAAATAAGTTATTATCAGGGATAGAAGAATTAAGGGAATGGAGAGTAACTGCTAATGGATATGGGGTGTCTTTTTGGCATGATGTAAATGTTTTAAACTGATGGTTGCACAACTCTGTACATACACTAAGATCACTGAACTGAACATAGGAAATGGTGAACTGAATAGTATTTGAATTAGCTCAATAAAGCAGGTAACTTTTAAAAATAAATGATGAGTTATAATACAAAATTTTATTTCCAACTAAAAAATCTCAATTAGGTATTTCTAAGTTTACACTTTGTTTCTATACATATAAATACATCTGATGGCATTTCCCACAAGCTACACAATTATTTAAAAATTAAATAATTTCATGAACATCAAACCTAAAAACTAAAATCACGAAGTTATAGCAAGGAATATCTATGTGTGATTTCTAGCAGTCTGCAGGGAAATGTGTAAGGAGTTGAAACAACCACAAAATTGAAATGAGGTGTTATGAATAAATAATTGTACCCTTCCTCTGCTTTCAAAACTTGTTTTGCTTACAACTTAATATAGAAATACATTTTACTTAATGATCCAGTACACATATGCATATTTGTAACTGAAATGAAACTTTTATCAAATACTAATGCACACTCCTCTCTCCTGTCCCATTTCATTGGAAAATAAAAGTTACTACCTGGTAAGCTGCTCACTGTTAGTAGTATAAAAACACTTCACAATTCATAAAAGTTTTTGTGCTGGCAGAGGTGGCTGGAAATGTATGGAATGGTATATTATGAAAGTGGTAGAAGTAGAAATTTTAGATAAGTGACTGAATGAAGGCAGAAAGGAATTGTTTTCCAGATATAGATTCCACAAGGAATGACCTTCTAGTTAAAAGAATTGCAAAGCAGCTGGAAGTAAAAACAGTTTACTTGTTAGACAGAAATAGCTGTAACTACATTAACAATGTTCTGTTGTTGGGAACCAAGGGAAGAACTTTTATGTGTCATGTTTTGTACTCTTCCTCTGTGGCCTTCTACAAAAATATTTTAAGTTAAAAAATTAGGTGTAGAGCAAGTGTAAAAAAATATGTAAATATTCCTTAAACTTCACTCTACTGCTTTACTCCTACATATTTATAAGCTATGGCAAAATGGTTCAAGTTCTATAATTTATTTCTTTTACATACTACCCTGAGGATATGTTATGTGAAAAGAAATAAAAGTGTAGTAATTAAAAGATAAATAACAGGTTTCAAGAGTGTATATCTGCTAGACCACTACAGCTTTAAATGTATTTATATCAACTACTTTTTTTTAACATTTAAATTTCCTTGAAGTTCCTAGTTGTACACATTATACAAAGACTCAGGGTTAGAAAATGAAAGTTGAAAACAATATATCAAATTAAAAAATTGAAAATATAACTTACTTTTGTAGTGGGCTCTAGCTTTGAGCCATAAACAACTCCTTCCTAAAGAAGTAATTAATCTTCTAAGAAAGGAAAAATCAATAGGAATGCTCTTTGAAATCATGAACTCTGCTACGGAGGAAGACATACCAAGACTGCTGCTCTCTATACAGGCATCTAGAAGTTTATTAAAAAGAAGGCTATACTGTGATACCTCCACAGTTTCTGAAAAGAAAAAAAAAATAATTGATATGAGACTGATCTACCTTAGTCTTGAAATTTTTTCTCAACTTACATTCCCTTTGCTCCCTTGGCATTTGCTTATTATCAGTCACTAAAATGCAGTCACCTTACATATTCTCTAAGTAACAAAGAACATTCAGCAAAAGCAAAATCACTTATTTACTTTGTAATGAAGACTGAAAGGAAGTTTGATGATTTCAGAAGCTGTATTAACATTCTTTTGATCTCATAAGTGGCAGCATTTGTCATACCTCAAATGAACAACTTCAGGGGTCTGTTTGCATTCTATCTACAGTTTAGTTCTCAAATTGCTATTTCCATGACTGGCAATATTCAGTCTCAATTAAATAACTGCTTTATTGGGTATTTCTATCTATTTGTCACTCAGAAGAAAGTGAAGTCACCCTGGAGACTTCCAATTCTTCCATACTCTATATCCTGTCAGCTCCATCTATAACACAGATTGTAGGTCTTATCACTTTAGACTCTTGGTAGTCTAAGGCTTATCAGGAAATTCATCTCTTTACCATCAGAGAAACTTTACTAGAACTCTAACCTTTGACCTTAGCCCTAAGGTTAATATTTTCATTTAATATTAACTCAACACTCAACTTACTTCTGACCTAAAACTTTTGCTCTTGTTCTAACAAGGACTCCCTCTTCTTGTTCATAGGACTCAAGCTTTAGCACTCAAGAGCACTACCTACCATTGCACTTGAGTATTATCTCTCTGAATTTGTTATCTGTTTAGTTTACAACATTTATCCCATGTTTACCTAAATGCAAAGGTAATGCAAACTAAGTTCTGTATTTGTTAATTGATAAAAGACTACACTTTATCATTCCAAGCAATAAGTCCTTTCAAGATATGAAGCCTGCTGGGGCATTTAACATACTGCTTGCTTGATGACTTGACAGAAGAAGGGAAAGGAGAATGATGAAAATGCTCCTGTTAGAAGCTGCTAACAAACAACCCAAAGAGAAACATCTGATGCCTGTGAGGCTGCAATCAAGAAAGTGTATTCAATTCCTAGAGAACCCATTTTATAGAAAATAACTTCATTAAAAATATATATAATAGAATATAAAATTCAATTAAAACAGGTAGAGAACTGTTTCTTATTAACAGTTAAACACCAAAGATGCATGAGATAATTAAACTACGCTTTCAAAAAACATACCTTGAGAATTCTGAAAACCTGGTAGATTTTGCAAAACTTCAAATGTCTGTCTGTAAAGGCTCTTGGCTAAGATTTCATGTGCAATCGTGCAGAGCAGATTATGTCGATTGAGTACATCCAGCCTATCACAAGGCCATAGTGGTGTACTGATGATCCATTCTGATTCTTCCAAAAAGAAAAATATACTAGGACTTGATACTGTAAAAATTATACTAGGTAGTATAATCACAACTAATGATTTTAAGTAAAGTATGTAATTCCTTCTTCTTTATAGTTTACTGGGTAATAAATGCACATCTTTCAGAAAGGAAAAATTATGGAAAAGATATATGTAGAAGTTAATCTGCTTCTCTTTACTGCTCTTGACTCAATTCCTTTTTCCAGTAACAACCACTGCTGCTAGTTTCCCTTTACATATGTTATCTCTATAAGGAAATATGTGCAGGCCCATTTTATGTTATACAAATGGTGGCATACTGTATGTACTGCTATGCACATTCCTTTTGTACCTGGTTAACAGCATTCCAAATGACTGTAGACCTGTCTAGTTCTTAATGGACATTTTAAGTTATCTAGAATCCTTTGGTATTACCACTGTTGAAAAAAAAAAAACCTAGAGAATTTATAGTGCAAATTCTTGTATAAATGTCTGTGTAGGGCAAATGGAATTAATAGATTAAAGGAAATAAGCACTATCATATTTTAACAGATATTTTAGTAACCTTCCCTTTGGACACTGTATGTGAATGCCTTTTTTTCTATGTCCTTGTGAAAGTCAATCACCCAACTGTTAGTCATATAGGTGTTTTGTAAATTTTTGTTTTTAAAGATTTATTTGTGCATACAGAACTGTGGTACAGGCCAGAGACTCAGGGGTGGCGAAAGACTTCACTAGAGACAGAATGGGGAGCAGAACAGGCAGATCGACAAAGTACACTGCTGAGGGGAGCAGTGGGCAGGTCAGGAGAGGTCTGCCACACCATGTGGTCATCTCCCGGGCAGGCGGGAATCGAACTCATGCGGAAGCGGCTTTAGATTCTCAGTGCAGTGCTTTAACCTGCTGCGCCACCAGGGAGGGCAGGTGTTTTGTAATTTTAATGGACTTTTATTACAATGAGTTACTCTCACTTACTACAAGTGAGATTGAGTTATTTGTATTTCCTTTCTTGAGACTGGGCTGTTTACTACAGAAACCTACAGAAAGAACAACAAAAAACTCTGTGGACACAGAATCTAACAAACTTCTATGGGTCCTTTTGCAATTGAAACAGTCACTGGAAAAGAGAATCTTGTATGTATACAAATAGAATTTTTATTTTTTGTCTCAATTCAAACTAAACTGTAAAAATTTTAAATCTCTATAAACTACTCCATGCCTCTCCCACAACTCTCCCAGTCTCCAATTTGAGAAGTAATTTTGCCAGAAACTTTAGGGAGACATTTCCTATCATAAGATCATCCAAACTATTTTTTATCAACTATTTACTTTTCCATTTCTTGTTTCAGCTCTTTCTCATAGAGTTTGTGAGCTCTGGATTGCATTTTGCTAATTTCTTTTCTTTTTTTTTTTTTTTTTGTATCTTGGTTACCTTTCCCTTTCAGGGACCCCACTGGTTATGTGTGTGAAAGAAAATCTTTCCCAAGATTTTTAATCCTGAAGACCCACTCACAAATTCTGTATTCCATAAACTCTCAATGCTGAATGCTTTGTACTCTGTATGTATATAGTCACACAGACATATGTATGCATAACATGAATGTTCGTGTTAGCATAAAAGTAATCTATAGTACTTATGTGTGCATATAGTCCATCTTGTACTATAGGATTCTTGTAGTTTCATTTATGCCCTATTTTAGTAAGCAAAATCTGGCCATTGTCTATCTAGCCAGATCTGCCATTAGATACCATGCTATGCTGGTACTGTGTTCTTTAAATTTTTATTTACCTTATATCAAACCAACCTTAGGTGCTTCTGGTGGTTTAACTGTATCGTACTTTCTGTTAGGTGGATTGACTTATCAGGAAAAGTAAACTCTACTTGTCTTGGTTGGAAGTCATATCTGCCTATACATGTAAAGACAGAGTCTATGTAGCCTGCAGTTAGGATTTCTGTGCCTGGGTTCTGAGGCTGGACAGCAGGGTTGGAAAACTGACCTCTACTCCTTGTTAATGTCATTTTGGCAAGTTGCTTAATGTCACTGACAACATTTTCTTATCTATAAAATGGGGATTGTAATTAATTCCAAATTTATAAGATTGCTATGAATGTTAATTGAGGTAACCCTGGTAAAGTATTTAGTATGACACTAGCTCAAACTAAAAACCAATTTTCAATACAGATTGATACAATTTCTTTTAAAACTAGGGTAACCTCTACTTTCACTTTATATAACCACTACCTTTCCAACCCACATGGTCACCAGTGTTTAGACCAAATTATCACCTCCAATTCAACACCAAAATTAAGGTAACTATACAGACAAGAATTTATAACAAATTATTTTGTGCTTGCATACATCAGAACTTACCCCTTAGTACCCAAATGGCACCATCGAGACTTCCACTTTTTAGAAATATTTCTGCTGCTATATTCACAATCTGACATCTTGGTGCTAACTTCTCAGGCCCTGTGAGTCCTTTTAAACTTGTAAAATGTATTTTTAATTCATATAGTTTATCTAAGACCTTCCTTCCCTAGAGTAAAAACAAAGAACACATTGAACATTAATCATTTAGGGTATTGCAGAGGCCATCAGTTAAACTGCTCTACGGCTCTCCTGCAGCCACAAAGATGCAAGCAAAGGGGAGCAAGCAAGCATCTGCCTCTTATCAACTAACCCCCATCACTGGTTCCCTTTCAGCAGTTCTTTTATTTGTTTAATACACTGTCTTCTCCTAAACATTCCATTTGGCAAAAGGAATTCATATCTCAATGTGGAACACCACTATTTGTAAGTTTTTATTCTTCTTTTATCACCCTGACATCCAGCAGTAGGAAGACAGTGATAAAGAAGGTAACTTGTCATTAAATGATAAAAATGATAGTTAGGGCAGAAAGGATAAAATTGTTGATTGAAGATTATTACTATTATTGTTTTTTAAAGATTTATTTATGTTTATAGAGCTGGGGTACAGGACAGAGGGTGGTGGGTGAGAGGGTTCACCAGAGACACAGTGGGGAGCAAAACAGGCCGAGTGACAAAGTACACTGCGGAGGGGAGCAGCGGGCGGGTCAGGAGAGGTCTGCCGCGCCAAGTGGGTCAGCTCCCTGGCCGGCGATAGAACTTGTGTTGTAGTGGCTTCGGAGAGCTTCATAATACTATCCTGTTGCGCCACCAGGAAGAGCCCTGAAGATTATTTTTTGATTCGATAGACTAATTACTTTACCTATTCTATATGAAGATTGTCTCTAATGTAAATCTCAGAAATTGGACCTGTAGTAGTAGTAGTAATTTTTTTTTTAACCAGGGATCAAGAAACTTTCTGTATAAACTAACAATAAATAATTTAAACTTTGCAGATAACATGTTCAGTGCACAGTTCTTTTTGGTTGTCATTGTTTTTAAATAGATTAACTCTTTTAAAAATGTAAAAAACATTTTTTGCTCAAGAACTATATAAAAACAAGCTGTGGGTCAGATATGATCCTTAATTTGCAGACTATACTTTTATATATATGCTATACTATTTTGAGTCAATGCATTATTATGATGTCAGGTAGCTTCAAATATGCTATATAAGAGTATTTTTCAAGAGACACCTTTAATATCAATGATTTTACTTTTGCATTTAAAAGATAATTTTTCATTAAAAATTTATACTAACAATAAATTATTGTAAATAATTGTGAAAAACTTTAAAATACAGGTACAAATTTACCAGTTCCTAAAAAAATAATAATAACTAAATAAAATGAAAATATAATATTTTAGCAAAATCAGTCTTGAGATTTCAAAAATGGTCTTGTTTGACAGTCCTCAATTTCTCAAGCATTAAACATCCAAGAAATGTATACTATAACCAATCTTAAACTAAGTTGTGGGAACAGGGACAAGATATAGTTTGCCTATCCCAGGTCCACAACACAGTAAGTGATAGATCTTTGCTCTTGGAGATCTGGGAGACTAGAAAATGATTATTTTTTAAATTAAAAATATTAAATATAATTAATTTTTAAGAATTTGTAAATTGATGATATACATGAGCGATCAAGTACTTAAATGCTACTCAACATCAAAGTAATGACTATGCATTTAAACCTATTAAAATCACCTAGATTCAACTGTTGCATTCTTTATTACTCCATCTGTTGGCATTTCTCCCCTATTATGGATATTCCTGTCCTCTGCTTAACTTTACTAAATTTTATCACTTCACCTGCCACTTAAGGAAAATCTGAAGAATGGTTGTACAACATGATCTAGAATCACTAGACTGTTACTATGGTGAGCTAAACTTCAAAGGTAAATACCCTTTACATAAATATCAAGATATATAGTTATATGGTGTTTGAGAACATTCTAGGGGCTTGATTTTGAGGAATTCTACTAATTGTGAATATACTGTGTTCATCTGAAGAAAGGAGTCTTGAATTCTTTCAAAATTACAATGCTACTGATACTTAGGAGCTGACAAAATAAATTCTAATCTGCAAGTACTTCACATAAGTATGACATTTAGGACAGCTTCCCAAGTGTTTCCTATACCCAACTTCTTCATACAAGTCAGTCTCATGTTACCTCCTTTTCCACATTTGCCAAGTATACCATCATGATAATTTACTTACTAGTCTGGGGCTCATTTTGTCACATGTAATGATTATTATAGTCCTAATGAACAGGGTTAACTTATAGTCTGTTCATTGAAAACTCATACTCTATACCAAGTTAAAACAAAAATGTAATAAAATACCTTGGACCACTGCAACAGCTTGTGATAGAAGTACATAGCACTGATTCCGATTCTTCCCAGCAGTGTTTTATCTGCTTCTTGATTTTGTGGATCTTTGCTAACTGAAACACAAATAGGCATATCGGAAAAAAGTGAAATAGTCACTTAAAATGGTGAAAAAGATAAATTAATATGGAACCACTGGTACTACAACAAAGACTAGGTGCTGGCAAACTAGAGCACACACTCCCAATCTGGCCAGTGGCCTGTTTTTATGTAGCCTGTGAGCTAAGGATAGTTTTTCTGTTTTTAAAGCACTGTTTGCAAAGAAACCTATGTGACATGGATCAAAGGTGTTGTATGCAAAACCTAGAATGTTTACTATCTGGTCCTCTACAGAGTAAGGTTGTGGATATCTGAGAGAAAACATAACACTGAATAGCTCATGTCCTTCCTCTCCCGCCAAAAGTCCAAATATATATGAATTTTGTTGACTTGTAATAGTGAAGATAGTAACAATTATTCAAAAATTCAGGCACTTCAGTATAATTTGCTAGTAACAGTTTCACCGGTAGAATGAAAAGAAAATAACATGAAAAATCTAATATTATAACACTAATTCTTGATCTTATATCATTATAATCTAATTTTATAGTAAACAGATTAAAAAATTTATAGAGAAGTATTTGAAACCTCCAATATGAACTTTTCTCCAACATGGAAACTATTAAGCACTCTCTCTATTAAGAATACCATACTACCCTAACACACAATACTCACCAAAACAGTGATATTTACCTATTTCAGCAAATTCACAAAATGGAACACCTGGTCTCTCTTCTTTATAGTCTTTTGTTAGTGTTTCAGCAACACAAGCACAAAATCTCTGAAAATCTGCAAATTTTTCACAGCTCATTTTTACGTTAATGTATAAATTTCCCAATTTGGTCCAATCACCTTTTTCTTTACAGTGCTATTAGAATTATTAAAAATGAAACAAAGAAAGGAAGCTGTCATTAATGCAACATTATGGTGTATGTACATGCAGGCATTTGATACACAGACATTAACAAGACATAATTTCTGAAATTTTTATAAACTTACCAACAAGCATCACAATTTTAACAACATGCCATCCTATAATTTGCTTTTTTGTTAACTTACTTTTAAGTTCCAAATGGCAAAGTACATTTGTTTTATCTATCAGTACATTTGTTTTATCTACTTGATAGATAATATACTAGTAGATAATATACCTGATAGATAATATCCTAATATATTTAATGTTAGCCTAAATCTGAAGTAGATTGTAGAGACAGACTTTATGGAAAACACAATTAACAGCATGACTAACAATCTCCACAGCAGTGCTTTATTTTATTGCTTACTATTACTTAGCTATTTATGATTTAAGGCCTGTATATCAAAAGGGGCTACCATGTAAATTTCAATAAGCTTTTATCTTATTTTTTATTTGTATGGTAAGAAATCGTTTTCCACACCAACAAAAATTGTTTCAAATATGTAAATGCTATCTAAGGACCAGACCAACAGTTATGGGTACAAAAATGATTTTAAATTAAAAAATAGTATCACCCAGAAAGCCCTTTATTTTTTATACTCTAAGTACTTGGAGAGCTTACAATGATCTTGGCTTTCTCCACTCATTTCATGTACAGCAGTCACCTGTGGATTATGACAAAAAGGCAACTTCTGCAAGGAGTAAGTCTATCACAAGGATTAAAGACTAAGCTTTAGATTACTATGCCTTAAATGTTAATTTTGAAACTAAATTATATCTAGGATAAATTTGTATACTAGTTTACAGCTTTAGAAATTATATTCACATTTCAAGATATTGTACAAAAATTAAATTTTATTTCCTCATTGAGTATTCTCTTTGTATAACTACCATATTTCTAAAACTTCCTAAAGGGTTATTTTTTTTTTATTACTGGTTTTCAGAAATTCCAGCACCCTACTTTTTTTAAGATTTATTTATTTATTTATTCACACAGAACTGGGGTACAGGCCAGAGATGTGGAGGGTGAGAGGATTCACCAGGGACAGAGTGGGGAGCAGAACAGGCAGATCAACGAAGTACACTGCTGAGGGGAGCAGGGGGCGGGTCAGGAGAAGTCTGCCACGCCATGTGGATCTCCTCTGGGGCAGGCAGGGATCGAACTCATGAGGAAGTGGCTTAAGCTTCTTAGTGCAGTGCTTTAACCCGCTGCGCCACCAGGGAGGGCCCCAGCACCTTACTTTTAAAAAAGTCTCATACCTCTATTTCATTCAAGGCTGATTCTAAATCACACTTCCAGTTCTTTTTAAACTGCCTCATCTGTAACCTTGAACAACAGAAAAGGATTAATTATATTCACCCCTCCAAAGTAACTATTACTCCTAGTTTACTTATTTTTAAAAAAGATTTATTTATGCATACAAGAAGTGGGGTACAGGCTAGAGATGTGGGGGGGCAGTAAGAAGATTCACCAGAGACAGAGTGGGAGCAGAACAGGCAGATGTACTGCTCCCTCAGCAGTGGGTGGGACAGGAGAGGTCTGCTATGGCATGAGGGTCACCTCCATGGCCATGGATGGAACTTGTGCTGCAGTGGCTGCAAACAGCTTAATAGTGCTTCTCTTTAACACCCCGCGCCAGCCAATGGGGAGCGGCCCTAATTCACTTATTCTGTTTGTTTTCTAAGAGACTGAAAGAAAAGGAGTTCAATAATGTACTACAAAAATTCTTAAAAGGTGAAAAAAACAGCAACTGCAGATATATCTACCTTTGACTATTTCCTCCCTATTCCTAGCAAGAAGGAAATTCTACATGAAACCATACTTTCCACCTAACTTGAAGACAGAGAATGCTAAAACTTCAGAATAAGTGTAAATAAAAAGAGAAAAAAACATTAAATCCCAGCCCTTGATCCCTGCTGTTCTCACTGTATCATCTCTGCTCCACAAGGATCTATGGCAAGCAAAAACTGACCAACAGAAAACCAAGCAAGCAAACTAAAACAAAATCCCCTGTGAAGAATTGAAAAGAGAAACTAACACATGATGCAGTATTGATTAAAAGACACTACCACTAAGACTGAGCATATACCTTATGCAATAATGTAATAAAAATTTTTGTTAAACACCATGGCTTTCTTTTTCTTAATACAGGTAAATGATGGTAAAGCTGTCATATATTAAAAAGAAAGATCTTTGGCTGAACAGAGAAAATGCACAAAAAATGTAGTACATATATATGTGTTGCTTTTCCATGATGCAGACCAGAAACTTATATGATGTTACAATGCAATGTTACTTTAATGCAAGAAAAATAGTAAAAAAAAAAAAAAATCTTGCAGACCTCAAAGGGAAAAATTTAGTTAACATGGCAAGAACTGAGTGAAAAAACAAGAATCACAATAATTTGTATATGCATAAAAGGACATAGGGGGAATTAAAGTTGGGTGAGGTACTTTTGACATTAGACGTAGATGAGGTACTAAGAAAGAGTTGGTGCAGCTGGTCAGGAAGATCAGTGGCCAGAAGCAGTTTGACAAGCAACAGCCAACAGATGGAAGGGCTTATGGTGAGCATATGAACAAGGTAAGTACTTTGCCTGCATCCTATTAAATTACCACAAAAGTGCATATATTTTAACCTTAATTATGTTTATCCTTACCTTGATTTCATTTCCAGAACTGCTGTTATTTCTTGTTTAGAAGCCTGTACTTGGTATAACAGCTTAACAATGTAGTTAAAGTGTTCTGGGTCAAGCACCATCCCAACTTCAGTCATCTGTAGAAGAGAAAAAAAGTCATTCTTGTAAAAAAAAAAAAAATCAATGTTGGGCCCTAACTGGTGGCGCAATGGGGGTAGGACGCAGCACTGAAAGCTGGCTGCAGCCGCTTCAGTATGAATTCTACCCTCAGCCCCGGAGGTGACCCACATGGTGTTGCAGACCTCTTTGATCCACCCGCTGCTCCCCTCAGCGGTGTACTTCATCCATCTGCCTGCCTGTTCTGCTCTCCACTCTCTCTGGTGAAGCCTCTCACTGTCCCTACACTTCTGGCTTGTAACCCAGTTCTATATGAATAAATAAATAAATCTTAAAAAAAAAATCAATGTTGTAAAACAAGACTGATAAAAGGGAAACATGGAGACAAAATTCATTTCAAAATTTGAAGCATAAATACTTCAAATATTTGAGAACCACGGTAAGATACTCTACTTCAAGAATTTAAAGCAAAAATAAAAACAGTAATTAAAAAAATATTTATTGATGCATACAAGAAATGGGGTACAGGCCAGAGGTGGAAGGTGGGGGATGAAAGGATTTACCAGAGACAGAGTGGGGAGCAGAACAGGTGGATGGACTGTAATACACTGCTGAGGGGCGCAGTGGGCTGACACAGGAGAGGTCTGCCACGCCATGTGGTCACCTCCCTGGCCAGGAATGGAACTTGTGCTGCAGTGGCTGCAGATAGCTTCACAGTGCTGTGCTTTAAAACCCCTTGTGTCACCAGAGAGGCCCCCAACACAGTAATTTTGAATTCAAGTCTTGACTATGCTTCCTGTTCTCAAAGATATCTCGGTAACTTTATCACTTGCATCTCGTATTTGTGCTCACTCATCAGCTAGTGCGGCACTAGTTTCTATACTTTCTACCTGACTGTAAACTTCCCCAAAAGTAAGAAACTCAGATTTTCCACTACGACCTATGGTAATTTATGATTTAAAAAATTCCAGGCAAGTAATTCTGTCAGGCTTTATAATGTCAGGTTTTAAAATACTTAATAGTCACAAAAATTTTAGTTTTTTTTTAAAATGGCAAATATAAAAGTAATTCCTAGTGGTCATGGCTCTATTTACTTTGTTTTGATCATGACTTTCTATTTGTATATTGATTTATATATTTTTATTTTAAGTAACCTAAAATGTTTTGAAAAAATATTCTTTAATCATCCTTAAGAGGTAGAGATGAGAACAGTTTACAAGCCGGAAAGCAGTCACATGGAGTGCTTAGCACTAATAGGGGAAGGTGTGGCACTCACTGGAGTCTGGTTTAAATTCCACTTCAGGAGATAAGAACATTTCTAAAAATAGAATTCTTTGGCATCAAGAATAACAGTAACAGGAAGTTTTTTTTAAGTATAAGTAGAATCATTTTTCTTAGTTATTCACCGTAAGAAATGAAAGGTAAATTCATACCTTGCAAAAGATATCAATTAAAGCAGGTACAGCATTCCTTAACTTCATAGTTGTCACATGCTCAAATATTTTTATTAATACTTTCATAGCAGGCTGGATAAAATAAAAATGTTACACTCATTTTCATGTCTTCTTTTTTTTACATAAGTTTTCAAATTCTTTTATGCTGAAAAACAAGCATTCTCCAGGAACACAGAAATTTAATGGCTAAATTATATAAATAAGAAATTTAATAAAAAAGTAAAGTAATGGGAAATATTTTTCATGTGACTTACCAGCATTTTAACCATTATGCTGAGATTCACTATCTGGAACACTTCCTTCAGTAAACAATGCTTGAGTAAAGAACTTAGAAAGTCATTGAATACGTGGATATCAAAGTGTACACCTGGAGGAAATTTTCTGTAATAATCCATAAACATATTTACTGAAAAAGGAAAAAATATATTAAGGTCACTTGTTGTTTTTAAGATAACCCTTTCCTAAGTTAGACAATTTTTCTATGTAGAATTGATAGAGTAGTAGTAGAATCGTGTTGTAAAGAATAGTAATGAGCTTAATAAAAAATAACTGAACAGTAAAAATTCATTTTCTTGCAAGGTACATTTCCCCTATTAGAAATATATAATGAAAAGAAATTAAAAGAAAAGTTAGTGACAACAACAGCTGAGATCAATCAGGCACATAGGCACTAGACAAGGAGTCATTTCCACAAAAAATAGTTCTAAAATGCTACCTACATCAAAAGGTCCTAAAGAGTTAATATGAACTCCAGGAGTCTTCAACCAGTGGGCCCGATCAAGTGTGAGAAACAGTACAACTTGGGGATGGATGCAGACTAATTTGACACTTACCTCTTCCTTTTTAAATACCGCCAACATGATGCCTGGGATATTTTCTATTCTAATTTATGGTTATAAACATTCTACAAAAATTATAGGATTAATTTCTTTTGAAAAAGTGGTTTCTTAGTGTTGATTCAAATCCTTAATCTGTATTCTCTTCTACACTAAAACTATTTCCAAATTCCCCCCATTAACTTTACTAAGATTATTTTATTAGAATCACTTCATTATTTTCCCATGTCAGTATCTGTACACTTTAGCTGAAATTAACTTATGTGAAACTTACTTTGGGTTTCACCATTGCATTATTTCTACCAAAAATTACTTAGTGTATTTTGGGAAAATTAACAGCTACTGATAAACTTCAATAGTATAATAGAAAAATTAACATTAAAGTTAAAATAACTTTGAGCAACTTTAATATAGTATAATATTCAGCTTTATTTAAAGCTCCTTTATATAACACCTTTGTTTTTACTGAGCACTTACAGGTAAATTCTTCTGATACCCACTTTGCAGTACCTAAATAGTTGCTTATCTAAGAAGCAAATTAACTGATAACATGGGAAAATCAGAATACCTGCGACTATCACTTACTAGTGACTCTGGATCTACAGATGTTTAAAATGAAGGCATTGTTGGAAAGAATCTGTTAGCCACTGTTTAAATAGTCCACCAACTGAAAGGCAACCCTCCTGTGTGTCATGGAGTATTTTACACTTTAATAAAAAAAGTAAATGAAAGTGCACTTACAAACCACTATTAACAATACTAGCTTTTATAATTGCCCAAGTATTTCCTTTTATTGAGACTATTATTTTTCCTAGACTTCCAGTTACTACTTAGTTTCTTCCATTTCACCTTGCAGGATTCCTTTGAGTATCTCTTGCAGTGCAGGTCAGTGGAAATGAATGCCTTAGCTTTTATCTGAAAATGTCTTAATTTCTCCTTCATTTTTCTAGGATAGTTTTGCTAGGTTCTTGGTTCACGAATATATTTTTTTAGCATTTTGAGGATACTTGCTTCTGGTCTACAAAGTTTTTGAAGAACAATTTGTTGTATTAAGGATCCTTTGTATATGATGTGGTTTTCTCTTGCTGCTTTCAAGATTCTCTTGGTCTTTAAAAGTACATGTCACAGTGGGTTTCTTTGTATTAATCTTACTTGAGTTTACTGAGTTTTTTAGTATTTATATTCATGACACCAAATTTGGTAAGTTTTTAGGCATTATTTGTTCAAATATTCTCTTTTCCCCTTTCTCTTTTCATTCTGGGACTCTCCAGTATGCATACTGCTGTGCTTGTTGGTATCCCAAAAGATCTGCAGGCTATGTAAACTCTATTTTCTTTGTTCTTCAACATGAAAATTTCCATTGTTTTATCTTCAAGTTTGCTGATTCTTTTGCCTGTTCAAATCTGTCTTTGAATCTTGTTAATGAGCTGTTCATTTCAATTATTGTACTTTCAGCACCTCAATTTTTGTGTTTCTTTTTAGTTTTTTTTTTCTATTGATACTTCTATTTTGTGTAGACATTGTTTTATTGGACTTTCTCCACATCTTACCTAGTTCTTGAAACATTTTAAAGATGTTTTACAGCCTACTTCCTAAAATCAGATAAGTGAGTCAAGAATATGTGGTATATATACACAATGGAATACTACTCAGCAGTCATAAAAGATAAATTCATGCCATTTGTACTGTCATGGATGAAGCTGGAAAAGATTATACCAAGTGAAGTAAGTCAGGAGAAAGACAAATAATCGTCAGGCATTCAAAGAGGGAAGGGAAAAGGAGGGATGAGCACAAAATGAATGGTTAATGGACTATGGGTGCTTTGGTAGACTGGAGTGCTCTGGTAACATCACTGGAATGGGGGATCCTATTCTTTGAAAAAACAAACAATAACAAATGAATATTACCTCAATACAAAATTTAAAAAAGGAAGATGTTTTAAAGTTCATGTCTAAAACATTTGCTATCAGGCCTTTTACAGGGCAGTTTTTGTTGATTTCTTTTTTCAAAGGGCCACACTTGTTTCTATGTAATATTGTGACTTTTTGTTGAAAACTGGGCATTTGAATCTAATGTAACTCGAGTTCAGAGTCTCATTCTTGCTAAGATTTGCTTTTTTTGTTATTTTCTTTTTGTTTATGCTCTTTAAAAAAAATTCTTATAGGCTGTTGCCAGGAATTTTTAGATAACAGTATGAATGGGTACATTAGAAGGGATAAATGTAAAAAAGGATAAAGTAGGGAAGTTTCTGAATGACTCCTTCGTAAGAATTTTAAGCTGATTAACATTTCCCCCTCCAACAACTATAAATAAAATTTCTGAGTCATGGAAATGTTAGTCTGTAAGGAAATTGTAGTGCTAGATGGATTAAATTTTATTAACCCAAATGTTACATGTATTTTTAACCCTTTCTAAATCAACAGAGCCACAGTATTAAAAGTACTGAGTTTACTTTCAAACTATAAGACCCAACAGCACATTGTTTGAAACATTAATTTATAGTAACCGCTCCATTGTCTCATACCTGCACGTTGTAGCAAACATAGTTCATTCATACCTATATATTTCTTAAGCACATCCATGCAAACCTGTAAAGGTAATGAAATGTAAAATTACCTTTTTATATTTAATATAAGCCACACAAATTTCAATTGCATGTTTTTGCTTATTCTATTTTTTTTCCAAGTAAACTTAGAGCAATGGAATAAAGTTGATACTTGGTTATATGTGAAATGCATACTGAATTCATTATAAAATCTTATTTAGAGAAACTCTGTCAAGGAAATAAGAAAACAGTCAAGACTAACAATCTAGGAAGGGAGGAAATCCTTGAACAGTATGATAATAAATTATATTTTTTAATAACAATTGCTACAAAAAACCTTATTTAGATCATTTGAAAATAACCAAGTCCCGGTACATTGATAAATATCGCGACCAATGGATTAAAACAGTCTAGAAATAACATCATTCACATATAACAAGCTAACTGATGACATGGTGACAATGTAGTTCAGTAATGATTTTTTTTTAGTAAATGGTGCTAAGAAAAAATATGTACCTTGGCTTCCTTACATCATAAACAAAATTCAATTCAAAATGACTTATAGTTCTAAAAGGCAAAGATAAAACTTTTAGACAAAGATTTCCATAACAGATAAATAAATTATCATGCAAAAAAAGTTCATAAAATTGGACCATATAAAAATTATTTACTAAGTACAAAAGACAGAAAAATCAACTTATAAAGTAGTATAAGGGACTTGCAATATATTCATATACGTATTTATATATGTATCGAAAAAAGAACTTATATGTACAATATATGGACAAGAAAGATAATCCTATATAGTATAGGTTAATTTAAAGATATTTTCAAGAATGGGGTTATCCAAATATCAAGAATATAAAGAAGCTCAACTCATCAGTCATCGGGGAAGGCACCACTCCCCATGCACCAGTGTGAGTGGTTTAAAATAAAGGCTGACCATACTAAGAGCTGGGGGGACAGAAAGCAACCAGAATTCTGACATTTCTGGTGAAAGTGTCATTTAGTAAACCACTTTGGAAATCTGGCAATACCTATTAAAGTTAAACATATGTAGGCCCTATAACCCTATCATTCCAGTTTTAAGAATGTGTATATATTAACCAAAAGTTGAAAAAGAACACTGCCAAATTGGGAAACTACCCACATTTTATCAACAAATTATTTGATAGAGCTACACAATGGAATACTCAATGTTAAACAACAGAAAGAAAGTGTACAATTAAATTAAAAATACTGATGGATCTGAAAAATATTGAGCAAAACGTGCACAGAGTTACAGATTGTGTGATTCAATATGTATAAAGTGCAAAACCAGGCAAAGCTCATCTTTTACTAGGAGTCAATACAAATCTAACGAACAATGTATGACTGATGCACTATTAAAGAAATCTCTTCAAATTCATTTTTTACCTTTTCATCCCCTTGTTCAGGCACATGAGTAAATTTGCATTGTGATCTCTCACAGCCACGTAATGTATTAAAATGAAATTTGCAGTACCTATGGGGTATCATCAACCCTAGTGGCTTTTGGAACACCTAGAAAATTAAACAAATTTCCTTTCTGCGTTAACTGTAAAAAAACTTATTAAAATCAAGTAAGGAAACATTTGAAGCAACCATAAATAAATTTCTTGCTTAGTTTAAATAAAAATCTAGACAATGCAAGAAAAGTGATTTGTCTCAATTGTAATTATTATTGCAAAATATTCTGAGGCTACTATATTTTACATGTTTTTAAAAGCTTATTCCTCCTTCCTCCTCATATACCTCTCTTTACTTCTGCAAAGATAATGTGATTAATATGCACTGTGGATGCATTTATTAGAACCAAATTTTCCTTAGCTTTTCTGGTAAACAGCAATAGGCTTAGGCAGTGAAAGATTTTTACAGAAAAATTTTCTATAAGCTGCTTTATATCTTTAACTTTCTCTTTCATGACCTGGCGCCATTAACCCTGTATTTTCTGCTTTGGCTTATCTGCCCTCCTCCCCCGGTTCTGCTTATAATCTTGATGTGCATACCTCTGAGTCACTGCTCATTTTCTGTCTCTAACCATCAATCTCCAATCAAAATCTGTGTAATGTCTAGAACTGCCTAAAATATTGGGGTAGTCAATTGGGATAATATGTGCTTTATAAGACTTTTTGTTTGTTTTAAATGGGGAACTCACCCCTACAGTTTTTTCCCTCTTAAATATTTCACAAGTTTCAGGATTTTGCAGCTTGAGGACAGAATGTTTTCCTGGAAATCTGAAATCTGAAAGATTAAAAAGGGCATTACACACCAGTCAGTTATAACTCTGCCTTTATAACAGTGAAACCGATGACCACAACTATCTGCTTTAAAGTTTTACTTTGGAGCATTCATGCTCTATTCACAGAAGCACTGTTCTGTGAAATAGAATGATTTATATCTTATGTATTCCTTAAGTATTTCTAGACCTCAATTTAAATAAATTTACAAATTTACTGTAAGCTGAAGATACTTTCTCTAAACATTGACATAACAGCCCTCAATACTGCATACAAATGTCTAAGTTAAAGAGATAAATATTAGAAAACTAATAAACTTTTTAGGACCATGAACTGAACTGTCCTTTCCCCCTCCAATTCATATACTGAACCCACTATATGACTGTATTTGGAGATAGGGCCCTTTACAGAATGATGGTTAAATGGAGTCATAAGAGTGAAGTCCTGATCCGAAGGGTAAGTGTTGTAAGAGATATCAGAGAGCATGATGCCTCCACACGCACAAACCAACGGAAGGCCATGTAAGGGCTTAGTGAGAATCCAACATTTGAAGGTTAGAAAGGGAACCAGAAACTGAACCATGCCAGAACCTTAATCTTGGACTTGCAGTCTCCAGAACTGTGTGAAATAAATTTCTATTAAATCATAAGTCTGGCATTTTATTATGGCAGGATGAGTTGAGTATTATACCAGACATCATAGATGTCTGATAGAACAATATCCTTTAATGTCAATTTTTACTTTTTAAAAAAGTTATATTTCTTGATGTAATGTTGATCTACAACACAGTCTGTATTTCAGAGGTATAGATTTACACATCTACCAATATATTATTTTGCCACACACACCACCAAAGCCCCAGTAATCCTGGACTGGACTTCCTTCTCTTTGCTCCCACCCTGCCACATTCCCCTCTGGTAGCTGTAATCAGAGTCCATTGTGTCTTTCCCTCCCTTTTCATCCTTTCCCTTCTCTTTTTGGGTACCTCAAACTAGATTAATAATGTCAATCTTCTAAAATGATAATTAGGATACCGAAAAGTTCTAAAAAAATGTTTGAAACAAATTTTTTGAAAAATGATTTCATTTTTCACTTTGGCAGTATCTAAATATAATTTAGAACAAGCTGAAGCTTTTGCTGCATAATTTAAACTAATTTTCATTACAGAAGCTCTGAGGCTTTTAAAGATAAACCATGTGAACATCATTGGGCTTGCTGCCCCAGTCCTTCACACCAGAGAGCACAAAGTCAGTTATGCGAAGGTACAGAGGCATTAGTTGTGAGCTGCACAAAGGAATTTTACTATTTCTAAATTCACTCTTCAATCTATTTTGCTTAAAGCATTATGATAAAAAAATTAATTCTAAAATTCTCAATTAAAATTGAATTATTTTAGAGATAACCTAATTTACTTATACTACCACCATCACATAAATAGAAATTGTTCTATAAAAGTACTAAGTAAAGGCAGAAACCTTCTAATGTGAGTATTTTATGGTTGTTTCTAACTTCTTTACCATTTTTGTTTTCGGTGAAAAATACCCTTATGACACTTTTATACTGTTAACAAGCACAGAAGTTATTAACAGTACCATTCATCCAAGGCTTCAGTAGTGCGTCTTCTTGATGAGCACTTAGATTCAATGGTGGCACTGATAAGCACAGAGGTTTGGACCCCAGTGCTGCTAACTGACAGTCACCAACCATAACCTCTGCATTTTTTGAATCTTTGCTGTGTAAGCAAAAAAAACAAAATTAGAATTTAAATTTATTCTGAAAACATTAAAGCAATGAGAATAAGTAAGAAGACAAGGAGTGCTACATGATATATACTATATTGTGTACTATTATCACGCTAAGACTCTTGAGGATTTTCAGTAGGTTGTACCTGTCTTGTAAGTAGAAAACCAAAACATGGCAAACGGGTAGGGAAAAGGCAAAAGGGGGTGGGGATAGTGTTACAACTAGAGCAAAATCTTTTTATTATGGCAAATGAGGGGCATCCTAATACAGGAAAAATAATATAGTTATTCTGTGGGCAGCACAATGGAAAAAATGAACAATATGCCTCATGACAAGATATATAATAAACTTATACGTGTACTTGGCACTTCCTTTGGACAGACAGTCTAATAAATGTATTTATTGCTCTAGGTGCTGATGTTAAACAGCCTTGATTATATTCTAGTATGTAAGATCCTATATAACTGATTTCAGTAAAATTTGATGTGGCACTTACCTAGAAAAAATAAATAAGAGAGAGGGTGGGAAATATTTCAGATGTAAATAAATTTAGCTTATAGGGAAAAGACACCTTCATCCAGATACTATTTTACTTTAAAAACAATTCTAATAAGCTTCTTCAGTTGGGTTCCTGGAGAGTAAAATAATTAAGTGAGGAGCTCACACTTCAACAGATGAAACTTAGTGGCAGTGATGGAGTTTAAAAATCACACACATACCATATTCACAATTCTCCCCAACTTAGGGTATCACTGACATGTGCAATCAACACAACTACCGCTATCTAAATATAAAATGAAACATAAAAGTAAAAAACACAAAAAGTAACATAAAAGGATCAGAATTTATAGAATTTTATATATGTAAGACATTATCTAGTAAAATTCTTTTATTTTTGGTTGAATGAGAGAAGTCCAAGATAATGTAGTGACTTATGCAAAGTCACACTTCTGGTCACCATTGTAAACCCATGGTGATGATGATAAAACTCTGCAGGCTATAATGACTGGCTTATAAACAAAAAATATTTTTTTCATTTTATAATCATTTATTTTTACATGTTTCTGTGCATATTTCCATCTCGGTTGCAATTCCCTTGGGTTTCCCATCACCAGATCACCTATGTGCCCTCACCATAGTCCAGTGCATTTCCCTCCTCTCATTGTTTTTGATCCCATTCCCCGCTCCACCCCCACAAAATGTCTCTGGTATATAGCTGTTCATCATTATCATTATAAACAAAATATTTTCTATAGAAAAGTTAACCCTTGCCACTTTTTCTTTTAGATCACCAAATAGTTATAAATCATATGGGGTTTCTGTGCCAATCTATTTCTTTCTTAGTTTTTCCTCACTGCAGCGGTTCTCAAATTTGAGCATGTTATCAGGATTAACTGGTGTTCCTGCTGAAATACAGACTTGGGCCCTACCTCCAGCAGGCTGCCGGTAGGACCTGATAATTTGCATTTCTGTTAAGTTCCCTCACAGTTCTGCTGTTCCAGGGATCACTTTGAAGCCACTGCCTTAATGTTAAAGATTGAAGTATTTGTTACCTGACCTGAGTATGCCTTGCTTTAACATCAAAGTGTGGGTGGAGAATGGATTAGAAAATCCCCAAGATGTCCTCCAAATTTGGTATTGACATACATTCTAGTGAGTGCACTCTAAGTCTCAGTACTAATCACTGCACTGATGATAGCAAGAAAACTGCAATGTTCACTTGCTTTCAGTCACTTTTACCCTCACAAAACTCCCCATGTTCTTTTTTTTGTTTTATCACTATTTCTTATTCCTCAAAAATTTTTTTTTTTAAAGATTTATTTATTCATACAGAACTGGGGTACAGGCCAGAGATGCGGAGGGTGAGAGGCTTCACCAGAGACAGTGGGGAGCAGAACAGGCAGATCCATGAAGTACACTGCTGAGGGGAGCAGCGGGCGGGTCAGGAGAGGTCTGCCACGCCATGTGGTCACCTCCGGGGCAGGCGGGAATCGAACTCATGCGGAAGCGGCTTCAGATTCTCAGTGCTGTGCTTTAACCCGCTGCGCCACCAGGGAGGGCCCATTATTCCTCAAAAATTTTAATGGTCCAAAAAACAGTGACTACTTTAAAGTAACTTACAATATCCCTCACATCTGGATACACATGAACACTACATATAGCCATTTACAACTACAGCATGTGGCACCATGCATATACAGTAGATAATAAAAACCACTCATTTGTATGAATGACTATTTTGAAGCTATGAAATTGAAAACTATGTTACAGACCTTTTGCAAGCTTCATAAACATTTTCTTTTTCTTCTTTAATAATCACCTTGTCTGGAAAGCTACACTGTGAAGAGATTATAGATAAGAAATACAAATGACTATCTCTGTATTTCATATGAAACAATGAAGTTTATCAGATCTATTAGAATGTATTAGATATTAAACAACGAGCTTATGATCAACCTGGAAAAAGATTCTATTCTACATTATTTAAAATACTGAATATTGACTGAAAAACTTCCACTGTTTAGGAGAAAATGTAAACCATTACATTTTCCTAACTTTTGATGTCACCTTTAATTATACAGACCATCATTTCAAATTATTATGGGCAATGAAAGTTAAGATTTTTTTAATTTAGAAAAAAAGCTTTGAGTGAGCTTCATTTTTAGGTGATTATTTATGAACATAAATTATTTTTCATTAGAAGTATTTATATGCATTTAAAACATTATACTTAGTGTATGACACTTTGGAATTATGATTTTCTAATTATAGCAGTTATATATGCTTAAATATTAAATTTTTGGGGAAAAAATGGGTACCAACAACAAACCCTCAAATCACTCATTACTTAAGCAATCAGATACCATTTAATATCTTACATTACAGCATTCTAGTTTTTAAAGTATATAATATTTTATAGTAGTGGTATATACTGTGTATGTTATAGAACTTTATAAAACTTCAAAAAAATCAACTGAGAAGCATTAAATTTAACAAACAAAAAGAAATACTATGTTCTTAGATGAGATATCAAGGGTAAAGATGTTAATTCCCACCAAATTAATTTAAGCATTTGGAAAACTGTAAGTTTAAAGCAATGTTGGGTAAGAACAGACAAAACCATTTTAGATTTACAGTACATCTTAATACCTTTTTTTAAAAAAAAAGATTTATTTTATTTATTTATGCATACAAGAGCTGGGGTAGAGGCCAGAGGTACAGGGGATAAGCAAATTCACCAGAGACAGAGTAAGGAGCACAACAGGAGGATCTGCTGAACACACTGCTGAGAGGCAGCGGGCGAGACAGGAGCGGTCTGCTGGGCCATGGGGGTCAGCTCCCTGGTCGGGGATCGAACTCGTGCTGCAGTGGTTGGCAA